ATCATTCAGCCATGCAAATGATACAATTCTCAAGTAATGCTGAACAATAAATCTAAATAAAATTGAAATCGCTATGGCTTAGTGATTATGAAAGTGCTGTGATTTGTGGATAACTGATAAGCGCGAGTCTGGAGAAACAGGCGTTTATTTATTCATTCTCAGTGTTGAGAAACGTAGCCGGCATGTGTTACGTTATTGTGTTAATAATAACTAAAGTAACCAATTATGTTACATATTTATTTTGTATGAAAACTAGCCCGTAAGTTACTTATGGATTAAAAAGTACCGTTGTATCAGAGCTGCGCGAGCTCGCTCTCACAAACACATAAAAATTGATGGGCTAAGTTTAAATTTTGTTCTTGCTTGTGTTTTTTCTTTCAAAATGTCAGGAAGCATTTTGTATTATCCATCCTTGTTTTTAAAATTCGTTAAACACAGCCCTCATTATGTTGGATTCGTCTAATTTATGTAGGCTACTTGATATTATTTTTAGAATAAGTGATTCGTTTTGCTATTATTGGTCCTGTGACTCCTGTCTATTCATTGTCAACTGTTTTCTATAAATGCGTTTGTATTGGCTAACGTTTATTCCGCTAATGCTTGTCTTGTTTAAAATGTGCAATGTTCAAATGCAAAGACAGCGTCACAAATAAAAGCCATTTTCCCTGTGGGATTTAGTATCATATTTGGAAATTGGAATACATTAAGTAGCCAATTTAAAATAAATCACATGTACACATAATTTTCCTGTTTGTTTGTTTGTTTGTTTTTTACTGTTTACTAGGGGTTTCTTAATTTTTTAGAGTAGTTAACCACCACACATTATATGCAATACAATATTAATCATGAATAAAAGATGGTGTTGAGCAGTATTGAAACTTTGGACTTTCACTGTATATTGCAGTGAAATTTTGGATTTGGGTCGAATTAAAAAACTTCAGAAGTCAAAACTAGAATTATGAAGATAGGCATGTGTTTGTGTGTGTCTTGCATTCTCAAAAAATAATTACAAAAATATGAGTTCTGTAGGAATTGCTTCTAATACTGTCTTTAAAAAATCTACAAATGTAGCTCTCTAAAGGAGAAAGATAAAAAATCCCAACCTGTCAGAGCATTAAGCATTTAGTAGTCACCCTCCACGGCCTGTCTTGTGACTCGAGGTTCTCTTCTCTGTTATCACATGTCTAAGGAATACTTTTTGAAGGGCTAAATCTGTTGTTTACCCACAGATGCTCTGACTAATGCAGTCACTGCAGGAGTTATAAAGGATAGTGAAAAAGCCAGTGGTCTTAACTGACCGCACAATGGACTTTTTGAAATATGTTTGCTTTGAGCAACTACATAAGAAGTATCTACACATGGTGCCAATGCCCAGCCTGTACCCTTTCCACACATTTCCAGCCAAAATAATAGGTTCTGCACTTGACAAATTTTCTGGTCTCGACCAGTAGTATAACTTCACAGAGTGCTGAGGGTGGTATAATGTTGACACCAATAAAAGTTTTTAACATAACAACAACTGACGCACAAAAAAAAAAAAAACCCCAGAGTATTCTTTTTATAATCAACAAAGCACCTTAAAGTAGAAATATGATTTGCAGAGATGATGTGACATGCTAGGCAGCTACTCTAGCCACTTTATTGATAAATTCAGTACTGAGTTTTATGTCTGATGGTTGCATAAAAAGCAGCTTGTCATGGCATAAAGACATAACCTCCCTACAGATAAAAACAAAGTGTTATGTTGGAATGTAGTCAGTTATGTCATCGCTTCGGCTCTCAAGTCAGTGGAAATTCCATTTGAATGGAAAAGGGGTAACCTACCCACAATTGGTCTTTCATTTATCCAGCTAATCAGCTCTAATGGTTCGTGAATACGCCCAGAGTTTGACTGTTATTCAACACATTGCTTCAAATCCCTCCAAACCTGTATGAGCCTGAAGAGGTGATAAGAATGCAGCAGAGCAGGTCAATGTGAAAGCCGGGAGCACGTCGGCTGTCGTGCTGCGGCATTACTGTATACAGCCTGTAAACAAAGGTCAGGTCACAGGTCGTTGTTTGGAATTAGTATCTGAAGATAAGACGGGTACTGTGGCCTCATGGTCTGTTCCTATTTAACAAATCCACAGAAGCTCATCTGGCTTATCTTGTATTTGCAGCTCAACCTACAGATTTGTAAAAGGAAAATAAAGATCTGGGCAGGTAACTAGTGTTGTCAAAAATATAGATTTTTCAATGTGTATCGATCCTGAAATATTTGAAACGGTTCTAATATTCATTTTCCACAGTATCGATACATGGACACCAGCTGCGCTTCCTCATCTCTGACACACCTGACTCCTTTTAAGGCCACGTTCACACTGCAAGCCTTAAGTGCTCAATTCTGATTTATTGCTCAGATCTGATTATTGTATCACTGTTCACACAGATCCAGTGTGAACAGATCATTGTCCTGGACTGACCCGCATGCGCAAACGAACAATAAAAAGATGACACGCAGTGAAGAAGAGACCATCATTCTTACCTTTTATAGTTCGAAAAAGTTCACTCAGAAAAAAGTTGATATTACAGTCAGCAATGTGTAATTAGGACGCGCAATGCTAGAGGCTTTATGTAAAAAGATCACATGCTGCGTTTGACCACTGACACAGCAAATATGCAAATAAGGACTTTAACCCGGGATTTAGGAATGTGCAGTGTGAAGTGGCAATTTATGAATACCCAGGATTAACTGTTAACCCCGGGTATAGTATGAGCAGTGTGAAAATGTGTATAAAGATAACCTAGGAATCCGTTTACCCGGAGTTTAGAATGACCCAGGGTTAACTACGGTATTTCAAGTGTGAAAAGCCTACAAGGTACAAAAGCTGTCCCTGGGGTGGCACCTTTCCAAAAAGTACACTTTTTTTGTTACTTTTAGGTATTAGTACACTTTAGGACAGGTATTAAAATGTAACTTTAAGTTATCAATATGCACCCTTTAGGTATAAAAGTGTACCTTTTGAAAAGGTACTGCCCCAGACTTTTGTACCTTTTGTAGAGTGTACGAAAGTAAATACAGATGTCAGATGACATTAACTCTTTCCCCGCCATTGACGGAAATTACTGTCATTTATGAGACAACGCTTCCCGCCATTGATGGAAATTTCTGGCTTTCCGTGTTTTCACTGTTATAAGGTAGGGGGCGCTTTGACATCATCTGAAAGAGTGAATGAATTGTTGACCCAGGACGAGGTATAGGACTTTTCAGGCTGCAGAGTATGTGTGCGGAGTGGAGCGCCAACAATTTCCCCTCCGCACTCTTAAGCGTTCAATAACCACTCCGCTCCAGGTTCACCATTTCCCGCTCCACTCCTCGCTTACTGATATCAAAAACACTGCTCCATCTTCACTCTCTGAGGAAATTTGTGGCTAAAGTATTTATGTATGCTTTGAAATCTCACCCAAAATCTGTTCATAACATATATTAAATACTAGGAGAACAGTTTCAATATGGTTTATTGGAACACTCGTGTGCAAAACTTTTTCTAGGACATGCCAAGCTTATTACATAGTTATCAGCATTAAAAGTTAAATATCATTGCTGCTTTTTGCAGTGCAGATTTTGTTTGAAAAGATGAAAATAAAAGTTTTTTTTTTTTTTTGTTATTTTATCTATGGGTTGCTACATTTGTTACAGATTTGTTACTGCTCATTCTTTGTTTCAGCCTTTCACTCAATCATATTCAGTAGCTTATCTAGAAGATGCTAACAAAACCTGTATTGGATTTAGGACCACATATGGAAGTGGCCCAAATCTGAATTGAAAAGATCAGATTTCATGTGGTTTGTACTGTTCACACACTGTCATGACAAAAACAGATCTGAGTCACATATGAGCAAAAGGGTTAGTCCACATTTACTTGCAGTCTGAAGGTAGCCTTAATCACTCTTTCATTTGCTCCGGTTGAATAGAGTTGGTGCTACAAGGCCTGAATTTCGGCATAATTTTGTTTTGCAGGTTTCGTGCGCACACACATAAAGCTGCTTCTCAAACAGCTTGCGATTTCCCAGTTGAGTTCTTTTACGCTTGCTCTTAAACTGTCAAATACACGCACAATTTCATGCGTTTGGTCTTTTGACAGATTGAGTCTTTTGAATTGAGTGAGCGAACATTTAGGCTTGGTGAGATTATTGTAATGATAATTGATCACACAGGGTTTCTACGCGGTTTGGAAAAGTACAGAAAAATGTTTTTACAGACTATTGCCCCTATTCAGTTTAATATATATATATATATATATATATATATATATATATATAAATTAATAAATATTCTTATTCTTAATAAAAAAAATTCTAAAAATAAATGTTTTCAAAAGTTTTAATTTTCAAGCCCGCCAAAACGCATAAAAAGTTTTCAGTTTTTAATTGCAAATGGTGTCATGTAGCCTAAACGGCACATCAGACTGTACTTTGCTGTTTGGTGATCATGCAACATATGCAGATTATAAAGCTTTATAGTTTTCTTCTCATCATGCAAGCATCTTATCACTTCGAGAACCAATGAAAAACAGAGAAAATATTTAATTTATATATATATATACATACAGATGACTGTACTATTCACTGAAAATAATCTGTGTGAACCATTTATTTTAAATATGGTCTGAAAAATCGTTTGGAAGAGGTCTGGAAAAGTATGGAATTTTGAAATGGAAAATGTGTAGGAACCCTGTGTTTATATGTGAATATAAGTCTAACTTAAAATCTGTTCGTCATATAAAGAAATTAAATGGATTCTGTAAAAACGATGGGGTGTTAGACACCCGGTCCTCTATTTTGGGTGTGATTCATTGTCAAAACAGGATACAACTAAAACGAAATGAATGAAGAATTTGATTAAAACGCTGAACGGTTTTATTAGTATTGTTTTTTATTTTTTTCAAAATTTCTATAGCTAAAAGCCTGATATAGTGTCAACTCTATTACATATGTTGATTATATTCGTTTACCTGCAGGTCTCTATGCGTACACTGCCTCCCTCTGGCAGATGAGTAACCAGCGGGGCCTGACGGCCAGATAGTCCCCTGCGAGCGCGGCGCGGCCCCGGCTCGCAGCATGCCCTCCACCAGCAGGGCAGGGAGTCTGAAGGACCCCGAGATCTCAGATCTCTTCTTCAAGGAGGACCCCGAGAAGCTCTTCACAGACCTCCGTGAGATCGGCCATGGCAGTTTTGGCGCGGTCTATTTTGTATGTTTGATCCATTTAATAGGATTTGTCATTTTAATGCATACTACAGTACATTATGAAATGTTTGGGAGATTAAATTGTGAAATATCAGATGTGTATCTTGCTCAGGCACGGGATGTGCGGACTGCAGAGGTGGTGGCCATCAAGAAGATGTCCTACAGTGGGAAACAGTCTAATGAGGTCAGTTTTCCTACATTCCAGAGTCATTACATACAGTCATGCAACAGCTTGGTTGTGGATTCAGCTTTTCCTTTTGAGGGTGAGCACAGTGATAGAAATGATTGCATTACACTTCTAAGACTTTTTTCATGTTTTTGAAAGAAGCTTTTGATGCTCACCAAGGCTGCATTTATTTGATCAAAAATACAGTAAGCACTGTAATATTGTGAAATATTACAATTGAAAATACCTTTTTTCTATTTATTATAAAATGTCATTTATTCTTGTGATGCAAAGCTGAATTTTCAGCATCATTACTCCAGTCTTTAGAGTCATATAATCCTTTAGAAATCATTTGAATATGCTGATTTGGTGCTCAAGAAACATTTATTATTATTATCAATGTTGAAAACAGTTTTTTCCGCTTAACATTTTTGTGTTCAAGAGTTTGGGGTAAGTAGGATATTAAAAAAAAAGCAAAGAAATGAATGGAACTTTTATTTGAACAAAAGTGACAATGAATAAACACATTTATAATGTTACAAAATATTTCCATTTCAAATAAATTTCTATTCTATTCTGATTTTCACAAAAATATTAAAGTGTAAATTGCAGGTTAAATTTTTCATGAAGATAATGCAATGTGCTTACTAAACATAAAGATAAGAACCACCCACAATTGTTTTTTATGTTTTTTTATACCAAAACGCTGCATATAATATGAAAAGTTGGTACGTTTTATAGTGGTTTTAAGCACGCCCCCTCCCTTCCACTAGGCTGGGCGTGACGTCATAAAATGGACTCCAAGCTTTTACTGTCTATGCCTGGTGCTCCGAGCCTAGAGTTACCGTTAGTCTAAACGGCAATTAGGCTAGCAGTTATTTTGGAGACCTAGCTAGCAAAAATGGTTAACTATTGTGTTTGTGCGGGATGTACGAATACATCAAAACCGGGGGAGAGGCTCCACAAGTTCCCCAAGGACAAACGACTGATTCGTGCCTGTAAGTGTTAGCATACCCGAGGTAGATCTCTACCCGAGCACGTTGTGTCCGAGCCCAGCCCGGCCCGACACATTAACTGTAATTATGATCCCAAGCCCGATTTAAACCCGACCATTTTTTAATACGTGGGTCATTATTATAACTGACGTTCTCAACTACTTTCTATGTTACTTTCTCCCGCCCGCAACATTTATGTTTTGACCCGCTCCCGCCCGCAAAAAGACTTTTTTTCTGTACCTCCAAATACTTTCAAGTTAGCCTACGTGTCGCCACCATTCACATCAGCATAAATGCTCCTGATAAATTATTTGTTATTAAAGCATTAACACACAAACCACACTGTTATAACATAAAAACAAGCAGGCTAACTTAGTCATGCATGGTTTGGCATGACTTTGCGCAAAGTGCACTCCCATAATCAGTTAATCGAGATCTCACACATCTCTGTTATTATCAATGAAGCTTTCATAATATCTACACTTTGTTTGTTATAATTCGAGGATTTGCCAGCATACAGAATTCATCACTGAACAAAAAGTCCATTTTGAGCGGTGAGGGGAGTCCATCGTAAATGCTTCTGATTGGCCATTGCGTTCAAATCAACACATATGACTGTGATTGGCTACATCGCTCAACGCTGCAAACATGTTATAGCCTAAATAGAAACTCTGGCCTGTAAATCGTTTCTATTTTGTTTTAGTTGTTCTTGTTGCTTTTCTGCAACAGATGAATAAAAATCTATTAGTTTTTATGTTTTATTCATAGATATTTCTAGTTTGCGGGAGTACCGCAAATCGTTTTATTCTCCCGCAACCCGCACACACAGAGTGAGTGCATTACCGCCCGCGCTCCCTCTTATGACGTCATCACCCAGTTACTGTAAAAACATGCTACCTTTGAAGAAACCCCAATAAATGTTATTTTAACGCATTTTAAGACAGAAATTTTTAAATGTATTGAGCACTTTAATTTACACATTAATTGGTTGCAGGGTTCCCGCGGATCCTTAAAAAGTCTTAAAGTCTTAAATTAGATTTTTAAAATGTAAGGCCATAAAAAGTCTTATAAAGTCTTATTTTTACTTATGAAAGGTCTTAAATTTTAGATGACACTTTGACTTAGACATATCTAAAAGCTTTCCAAATTAAAACCATCTAATTAGCGTACGTATTTTTATTTATTTATTATTCTATCTTTGTGGATTTGCTAGTTCACGTGACATTTCGCGTCACTCGCGAGTCGCGGCAGCATAACTGTCTCCTGCACGCGAGAGGAGAGAAGGAGAAGAAAGGTCGTAAATGTCAGTTCAGTTGTAAGTTCATTCTTTATGTGCGTATGGTGTGCGATGTGTATTGTATTTTATGATATTGTAATCATTGTTTTAACAATGTACGAGGCACTGCGAGCTGACATCGCATTTGTCTCTCGTGCTTTCACTGCGTGATGTGTGCAGTGTAACGGTTATGTCCCCAAGTTAGTTTTTGTCTTATATTTATATCATATTATGTTCTTATATTAGAATATCACATCAGAAAGAGTGCCGTTTTCCCGTGCACAATTCCAATTGTGATATTTATGTTATACAACAGTTAAATTAACAATAAGTTAACATTGAGTTACTTTTTAGACACAATATTGTCAATATTGTTTGTTTTCCCTTTATTTCGCCGACTATAATTTCAAAATGAAACCGTAGCAGAGTCTCAATGCAACCGACAGCGATTATTTCTTGACTGAAATCCGCGTTTTGAACGAATCACTTGCTTCTTTCCCGAATGAATCAGCCGTTTGAACGAATCGGTTGAATGAATGACTCCCTCAACTCACTTATTAAGACAGTGATTTGCCGCTGCGGTTTCATATTTAAAGTACCCTTTAAATAAAATGTTAAAATTAGAAATCATTTCATATTTAAATATTGAATATTGATTTAAAAATATATATCTCATAGCTTTATTTATGCAGTTGTAAATGGAGTGTAAATAAATTAATGCCACTTCTGATGCCGCTTCTGTCACCTCTGCACTGCAAAGATGGATTTTGATTGAATGATTTAATTTGACTGTAACATGAAAATGCCCCTGAAAAAATCAATTTAAGGTGGCAAATATTGCCCCTTAATTAAAATATTAATTTCTGTCACTGCTGTGAACTGACCACTGCATAGAATATGAAAAATATGAATATCTTCGTGAGTCAGCTGTCAACAACAGACCCCAACAGACCTAGACCTAAACAGACCAAACCTATAACACAATCAGTAAAATATCATCTAATTATTATCAACAAAACGTTGAAAATATCAAGATATATTTTTGTCAATACTGCACAGCCCTAATGTACGGTATTAATTTTGATTTCTTCAAGTCTTAAAAAGGTCTTAAAAAGCCTTAAATTTGACTTTCAAAAGTGTGCAGGAACCCTGGGTTGTGGTGGTTAACCTGCAATTTACACTTTAAGCAGCAAAAACTGTTTTCAGCATTGATAATAATAACTATTATTAATTGTACTCAATTATTAATAACTTAAAATAATTGAGCACCATATCAGCATTACAATGATTTCTAAAGGATCTTGTGGCACTGAAGACTGGAATAGTGGTTGTCACAGGAATAAATTACATTTTTAAAACATATTAAAATAGAAAAAAAGTTATTTTAAATTGTAATAATATTTCACAGTATAACCTTTTGTACTGTAGTTTTGATCAAATGAGGCCTTGGTGAAAGACAATTGCATGAAAAACATGAAATCTTTTTTATTATTATTCCAAACTAACTTCAATACTCACAAACAACTATGGCTTGGCTCTCAAACAGTGACTTGGCTCAGTATCATACGAGCAAATTAAAGTCAATTGCTGAAGTCAAATTAAATCTCCTGTAACACCTCAGATTGAAGTGAAGCACCAATGCCATTCATACTTTAGCTGGTGGCAGCATTTCCTTTGTAATTTCAGATTAGCAGTAATCGGATTACACATAATCTCTGCAAAGAATCCTTCAGAAGCTTTTAGGACTGACTTTCTTTTTCAGGACCTGTACTAGTAAATGGATACGTCCAGTCTGCTCTTGTCAATAGTGGATACAGTGAAAATTGGAATACATTGTATGCTTTTCCGGCCAATTTGAAAGAAGACCGTTTGACTTGATGCTTTCTTCTCTTTACTTAGAAATGGCAGGATATCATTAAGGAAGTCAAGTTCCTCCAGAGAATACAACACCCAAACAGCATAGAGTATAAAGGATGCTACTTGCGGGAACACACAGCATGGGTAAGATCTTTCTTTTGCTCTTCTGAATCACTCATTCTCACTATCACTCTTTGGCATGGCATGTTAATGAGTGCATAAACACAATATTAATTTTCTCATCTCCCCCCCCTCCCCCCTTTTCAGCTTGCCATGGAGTACTGTTTGGGCTCAGCCTCTGACCTCCTTGAAGGTGAGATGCCAAACATTTGGCTTCATGTGGAAGCATGATCAGTATTTCATCCAAAATGTGGGTGTTTATTTATTTATGTTTATTTCTTCAAAAATGAGTTGTGATCAAATCAAAGCTTTAAAGGCACAATATGTAAGGTTTTTGCATTAAAATATCCCAAAACCACTTGCACAGTGTCATATATTTTATTCACTTGTGTACTAACATTATAACGTACATCACAAACCTACAAACAACGTTTAACCAGTGTAACGTCCCTCCTCATTGCGTCGCCTGTCAATGCCGTCATCCTCGGTTTCCGCTTTTGGTGCCTTAGAAACCATGGCAACATAGTAAGTCTAATGAAAAAATGCGGAAGTAGTAATTTTAGCGTCTGCCATGCCACTCTGTTGTTGTTTCGCATGGGTCGTCATGGACCTCAATTATTCATTATTGTTTGCAGCAGGTTTTGGGGGATGATGGGGTAGGCTGCCCTTCATCACATGCCATGCAGGCTAGAATTGCGAAACATTATTGGATAATTCTTATTAATTGAGATTTCTCTGGGCCAATCGGAATCTTAGCACTTTTTCTCTTGGCCAATCGGAATCTTAGCACTTTTTCCCTTGGCCAATCGGAATCTTAGCACTTGCGTCAGAATCTTGAAGCACAGTGTGCATGTGTAAAACAGTTAAGATCATAAATTTGTTCGCTGGTATTGGATTTGATTCTGAGCTACCCTGAATATTAGGTTGTTGTGCGCGCTCACGCGTTATGGGGATTTCACACAGGACGCGGAATGAAACCCATTCATTTCAATGGCGTGCGCCGCGCGAAGACGTTTTGTTTCTGCGTCGACCAAAGCGCAAGCGCAGCGGTGCGCACCATTGACGTCCTCGCGCACACGCCGCGGTCAAAGTTCAAAATAGTTCAACTTTTGCCGCTGCGCTCTGTGACGATTACCAATAGAAACGGGACATCCAAACAAGCACGGAAATCAAAATGGATGAACGGCAAGTACTGTGTGTCGGAATTTCCTGAGCTGTACGATACAAGTTTAAGGTCGTATAGGGACAAATAACTAACGTTATTATACTGACGTATAGATCTCCCGCGTAAAGTTTTTGAAAACTCCGCCTACTTTGCTCTGGCATAGCGCAGTGCAAATCACGTTGTATCTGAAGAGCAACGCTGAAGCCAGCGGCCAGCGCCGTGCATTCCGCGTCCTGTGTGAGAGGCCCATTAGGCAGTCATTCATGATGTGGGTAAGTTAAATGTGAGTGTTTACACAACAGCTGATGCGAGAGTAAGTGTAACATAAAGCAATTTGGCAACCGTGTTAATCTCTTGTTGCATGGGATGCGCTGCATACCTGGTGGTAAACAGTCATTTCTAACAACATAGGGCTATTTAGATAAACAATCTGGCGAGCGTGTTGTTTTAAGCTAATACACCAACAGCAAATTAAGTAATAAAGGGCTACATTTTACATCCAAGTCTATCAGTTCCAGGTGTTTCCGTGTTGTAAATAAAATCATTTTTATAATATTAAGTGTGTCATTCTCTTTAAGCCTCAATTTAGGATGTTTTGACATTGATTTTTGATAAGTATGCTGATTTTTGTTTAGTCACGCTCAGAAATGTGTCATTTGCATATTAAAATCACAAAACAAATCGACAAATAAAGTGACGTGTATGAGTAGTAATTTAGCAATGAACATTACGTTACTTGCGGCTAATTAAAATGAAATAAAATCATGTGATCAAATTTAAAGGTTATAAAACTTTATTTCATTTCATTCCTCATTCATGAACATGATTTGAGTCAACTCCCATCCTGTTATTGTTTTGAATATATGACCTCTAGTGGCAAAAATTATATACTGTGCCTTTAACCTGTTAACTGGCACCCCCCTTTTTTTTGCATAGACATAAAAATCACTATCCAAACTTAAATGGTTGTAATTCAGGAATGCTTTGGAATATAGACCTATGGCTGGTCTTGTTTTAAAGAAGACATTTTCCAGATTATTGTAGAAGTCCAGAAATTGTAAAAAATGAAACAGAAAAAAAGTTATATAAGTTTGAGTTTATGAAATTGTGTAATGTAAAAATATAATGATTAATATTTTATGTAAAATATATATATTACAAAATATATTTTACTCTAAAACTGCAAGAAAAATAAAGTCAAATATCTGAACAAGTTGTATTCCAAATTTTAGGTTGATATCTCAAAAAATGAGCTTTCAGTAAGATTTTATTCGGGCGCAGTACCCAACTTTTTCACTAGGTGAACACCAGACTCCATTACTGCCCATATAAGGGCGCCTCCATTTTCATATGTTTTGAGTGATCTGAACCATGTATTTCCATAATTTTCATACAATTTATGAAGTAGACATCCTATTCAGAAGTAGTAGGGGTGGTTTGGCAGTATTTGATTTGAATTAAACCTCTAATAAATGCATAAAGACTACGTTATAGCGTTATAGCTCGCAGCCGCATTACAAATCGAGAATCCATACATTTTTCTTTATATTTAAAACATTTTCAGACCTTTTTTTCTCATAAAATGGAATTGGTGTTATCTTTTGAACTCATGGCATGAAAACAAACTGAGGTTTCTACCAATCTTTTATGATTTTTCATGTTTATTGTTATTTCAAAATAAAGGCCTAAATACTCCTAATGAATATGAAATATTCTTGTTGCAAATTGATAAATTTCTGCTCCTCTGTAATATATTTTAGATAACAGCCACCAAATATGAAAACTAGAGATTTTAAGCTTTCAAATGATATATAGTTTGGCAATATTACTTTAGGTTTTTACTAAGATATTATTGTTTTAAACATGCAATGGCAAATGGGCCCGCCGGCGGGCCCAGGGATAGTTCACTTTGAAATTAATTTTTGATATGTTTTAGCTTACCTCCAGTGCATCCAAGATGTAGGTGTCTTTGTTTCCACAGTATCTTCAATTTTGATAATTTTAGGTAAAACCGTTGTTGTCTGTCAGTCATACAATGGAGGTGAAGGGGGTCCTCCTCAAAGAGCAGTCAAAATTAAACATTATTTAATGACTCGTAAATGTAAGTACACATTGATGCCCTAAGACACGAAACGAGCGGTTTTTGTGAGAAAACGAACAGTATTTATATTGTTTTTACCTCTTGTAACCACAGCCATGTCCAAGTTATCTGAGGGCGCGGACGCTTCCGTGTGTGACGTGTACGCAGACTGGTGCATAGATATATATACCCTAGATGTCGCCTTGGCTAAGGTTTCGTTCCAATGAACTGCCGTCGCCAAGGCGACATCTAGTTTATCTATGCACCAGTCTGCGTACACGTCACACACGGAAGCGTCCGCGCCCTCAGATAACTTGGACATGGCTGTGGTTACAAGAGGTAAAAACAATATAAATACTGTTCGTTTTCTCACAAAAACCACTCGTTTCGTGTCTTAGGGCATCAATGTGTACTTACATTTACGAGTCATTAAATAATGTTTAATTTTGACTGCTCTTTGAGGAGGACCCCCTTCACCTCCATTGTATGACTGACAGACAACAACGGTTTTACCTAATATTATCAAAATTGAAGATACTGTGGAAACAAAGACACCTACATCTTGGATGCACTGGAGGTAAGCTAAAACATATCAAAAATTAATTTCAAAGTGAACTATCCCTTTAACATTTAGATTTATTATTACAAATAATAGAGCATAGTTCTAGCAACTCCAAGTTAGGGGTTTGATTCCCAGGGAATGCATAAACTGACAAAATGTACTGTATATCTTGAATGCAGTGTCCATCACTTTGGATAAAAGGTCTGTCAAATGCATTAATGTAATGTAAATCATTGTCACTTTGATGAATATGCAACTTTACTGTTTTTTTGTTTAGTTCACAAGAAGCCCCTTCAGGAAATTGAGATTGCAGCAATTACACATGGTGCTTTGCAGGGCCTTGCATACCTTCATTCCCATAACATGATTCACAGGTCTGTGGGTTTTTCTTTTTCTTTTTCCTAGTAGTGTTGGGAATCGAGAACTGCTTCCACAGGAACCAAATGAGTTTCATGACATTGGTTCCGCTAATAGATTTTGCATTCTTGCTCTGAAGACAGGAAACCTTGTTGGGATACTCTGGGAGGGTTTCCTGCACATTTATTCAGTTGCGGCACAGTGCAGTCTCTAATTAAATGGTTTTAGCAAGTCTGCATTGAATTCAATGCAAGGGACAACAAACATACAGACCACTATAGTCTGATTCACGAACGTATGGTTCTTATGGTCACAAATTCTCACAAATAAAGTTACAATGAAACATAAGTAGTAATAGATCTTTTTTTGTGGGGTACATCCGAGTATTACTGATTATGGAAAAAGAAAAAAACTGTAGGACGGGGACTTGGTTCTATCCATGGGTTGTTGATTGGATTTTGAAATGTGGGAAGTCTTCACACTGCATTACCTGTGGGTGTCAAAGAAAACGTTGATTATTCTGTGTATATTGTCATCTTAACTCAGGGATATCAAAGCTGGGAACATCCTACTGACCGAGCCTGGACAAGTCAAACTGGCAGATTTTGGTTCTGCCTCCATCGCCTCTCCAGCCAACTCTTTTGTAGGGACACCATATTGGTGAGCACACTGAGGATCTTTAATAATAATGACTTCATTGACACCGCCTGGTTACTAACACACCTGTCTCCTCTCAGGATGGCCCCTGAAGTGATTTTAGCCATGGACGAGGGACAGTATGATGGAAAGGTTGACATCTGGTCTCTTGGGATCACCTGCGTAGAACTAGGTGACGAAGAAGTGCTGCTCATCGTAAATTGAATTGTGCATCTTTCACAGTGTGAAAGTCGAGCTTACTTTTGCCTCTCCCTTTTGCTGTAGCTGAAAGGAAGCCGCCTCTGTTTAACATGAATGCGATGAGTGCCTTATACCATATAGCGCAGAATGAGAGTCCCACACTGCAGTCAAGTGAATGGTGAGTCCTCTAACACAGGTTTTCAATCTTTTAGATGATCAGTCACATCCTAAAACGTACCATAGTACTGTACTGTTAGATGTATTGGTTATTCATATAAATTTACTTATTTAAATTATTTTATTTGAATCAATTTCTTATTTATTTAGTGATGATAAATTCGAACATTAAACTCTAGTGTTGTCTTTAGTAATCTATAGCAGGGTTTTTTAGTCTTTTAGATGCCACAGAGACCCCAAATATGATCTTTCTCATGTGAGACACCATCCTAAAATTTAAAAGGCAACTATATTGTTTCATATCCAGAGAACCAATTTATACGGTGTAAAATTGTATATTACAAATATGCATATAATATAGTTTGAAAATTATTTGGTTTCTTTTCTTTAAATTATTTCTCTTTTGTTCTGCTCGCTATGGTATGATACTAAATAAATATATTAAAATAAATAAATCTAACAGCATTTATTGTATTTGTTCAAAACCATTATTCTTATTTGTTTAATCGTATCTTATTTTATTTATTTATTTATTTTTTGCATTAAGGCTAGGTAGTAAATCAAATATTGGGGTGAAATATTTTTTAAAAAAATACTTTTTATTTGACCATTTTTTCCATGTGATTTGCGAGTATCTGGGCAATCTTGGCAATCTTTTTTTTTTTTTTTTTTTTTAAGTCTCTGATCTAAAGGGTTAGTTCACCCTAAAATGAAAATTCTATCATTAATTACCCTCATGTCGTTCCAAACCTGTAAGACTTTCGTTCATCTTTTAAACACAAATAAAGATATTTTTTATAAAATCTAAGGCCCTGTTTACACGAAAACGATTCCGGGTGAAAACGTAATAATATTTTATCGGATGTGCCTTTCGTTTACACGGCGACGGCGTTTTTGGGGCTTAAAAACGCAAAAAAGTGAAACCACCCTCCAAAGTGGAAATCTTAAAAACGCTCCACCGTCGCGTTTCCGTCTAAACGGGTAAAAACGCAAATCTGCTCATGGCGGCTCTCGTCGCGTACGCATTTACGTCACAGGCATGCGCCAGTACAGGAAAATAACAACCAACATGTCGGATTATTTCCATACGTCGGACCTTCAAGTTGCCCTAGCAGCTCTGATAAACGTCCAAGAGTCTTTTCAATTTCGCGCTACTAGGGAGAGAAGTAGAAGGAAGGTTGTACGCAGGCACACGGTCTTGTTGTTGTTGTGTGGCAGTGCTTCACATTGCCACCTAGCCGCCTGGAGTGCATACTACATCGCATTTCTAACACTTTTGCGTCTCCATATGCACGCAGATTTCCCCCCATAACGCTCGTCTAAACGCAGAATAAAAAGTGAAAACGAAACGCCACTTTTGCGTTTTCTCTTCAGATCGTTTCCGTGTAAACATGGCCTAATGGCGCTTTTCCATTACCAGTACCAGCTCGACTCGACTCGACTCGCCTTGGCTCGACTCGCTTTTCGCTCCGGTTTCCATTGCAGAAAGTACCGCCACAAATAGTACCCGGTCGTCATAGCGACGCATTTCGTTCCTCGTTGCCCCATCAAGCTCTCGCTGGATCCTCTCTTCGGCAACCAAACAAAGGAATGTCTGCACCTCCTCGTTTGACCACGGCGTATTCTTCCGAGTTGCCATAATAATAGTAGTAAGTTTAGTAACTATATCTGGCCAAACTATTTTAAAAATGGCGGGGTTATTCTGGATACTCCATCTGGCGCGTGCAATGATGACGCAGATTCTCTGTGACCAATCAGCAGTCGGCATTGTTTTCACGTCACATTTTAGTATCGCCTTAGCTCGCCTCAGCTCGCTTAGAACCTCGCCGGAGGTGGTACGAAAAAAAGTACCCGAAAGCAGGTACAGGTACAACTTTTACACAGTGGAAAACCAAACAAAGGCGAGTCGAGTCGAGCCGAGCCGAGGCGAGCTGGTACTGTGTAGTGGAAAAGCGCCATAAGTGATTTCTGTCCCTCCATTAACAGCTACGCAACTACCACTTTTATGCTTCAAAAAGTTCATTAAAAAGAACGTAAAACTAATCCATATGAATTGAGCGGCTTAGCCCACATTTTCTGAAGAGACTTGATCGCTTTAAATGAGGAACAGATTTAATTTACTTTATTTAAAAATATTGAGCAATTTCTGCATTAGCGAGTCGATTAACCTGCTGTGTTATTCTCTTTCCTCAGGACGGATTATTTTAGAAATTTTGTTGACTCTTGCCTTCAGAAAATTCCCCAAGACCGACCACACTCTGAGGATTTGTTGCAGGTGTTCACTTTGCTTTGAATTATCAAGAAATCTTTTTGTTTGTTAGTCTTAATAATCCACTTGAATACTTAGTTAACTGCCTTATTTTCTGCACTCTTTGCAAAAACAATAGCATGCATTCGTCCTGCGAGAGAGGCCAGAATCTGTTCTTATGGATTTAATTTTGCGGACAAAAGATGCAGTTCGAGAGCTGGACAACCTGCAGTATCGCAAGATGAAGAAGATCCTCTTTCAAGAGTCCCACAATGGGCCGACCACTGAGACCCAGGAGGGAGATGAGGTCAGATCTCAAACCATCCCTAGTTCCAGTGCTTTAACATTGATTGGCTCATATATAAATTGGAGTCCAAATATCTGAGTGAAGTGTTCAAAATCAAATTTAAAGGTACACTATGTAACTTTGGCCCTTTAGCGGTTAAAAAACAAAATTGCATTTTGCGGAAGAACATGTGCTTCGGCTATATAATATGGTTATCCTACAGCTCATAAAACATTCACTACTAGGTTTAATAGATATAACCAATTTAGATGAAAATAGATCTCAAGCTGACTAGAGATCCAAATGTTACTGTAGCTATACCCATTAATAGACACGGTACTTCCTTGAAAATGCATTCCAGCACAGCACGACGCCATAATGAAATGACCCTTCACAATAGATGATGCTTTAAAAAGAACGCTCTTAGAGAGCTACATATTACAAATACCTGTTGAGTAATAAAACCACCATCACCGCATCGCTTTTACAACGTTTCAAATCCCTCAGGTCTCACCCTCTCCTAAAAGCCAAGCCAATGTTGGCAAATTCTTGTTTTATTGCGATCTTTGTCGCGTTCTCTTTTTGCCAGCGAATCTCCTCTGTTTGGTGTTTTTAAAGGGGTTATTCCTCTGAGGTTTGAGATTCAGCGGCTCCACGTCAACCTTTTTTCGCACGTTGTGACAATTAACCTATGCCGCTCCCACACGTGTAGAAGTAGGGGGACCAACTTTTCTCTATTTACGGATATGACGAGATGGGCGAGTGATGCATGTATGAAATTACCCACAGTAAATCAGGGTAAAATAAAAACACGTTTTGGAAGAAGGATTGATGATGTATTGACTAGTTATTTAAATTAATTTTGAACAAAAAAAAAGTCATAGTGTACCTTTCGAAAAAGGGCCGCATTTTCTCCTTTTGTAAACACAGGATAATCTTTGGGTCATTCTCAAATCCTGGTGAATAACATGACTATCAGGTTTAACACAAACTTGTGAAGTTTATGCTGTTTATTTAATACATTTTTTTAAAAACTTAATTATAAGAATTGTCAGTCATGATCTCAGTCTTTTTAAGCCAACGCAATGTTTTTCGACTAAAGTAGAGTTGTTGTTTTTTATATCACTATGATTACTGCTGTTTTTTGTGTGTGTTCAGGAGTCGGAGCACAATACTGGTCGCACGGGCACAGTGAGCAGTGTGGGCAGTAATCAGTCCATTCCCAGCATGTCGATCAGTGCGAGCTCTCAGAGCAGCTCAGTGAACAGCCTTCCTGATGCTGCCGATGACAAGAGTGAACTTGATCTGGAGAAAGACCACACTGTTATGTCTAACAGTTCGGTCATACATCTGAAGCCTGTACGTTCACACACCTCTTCTTAAAATATCACAGAAACCTTTCAGTATAACCCAAATCAGAGATTCTTTATACTAAGTAACTGTGAACAGTGAATATACATTTTCCTGTTTTTGTGTCCATTAGGAAAGGGAGGAGGTTTACCCTGAGGATCCTGAAACACATCCTCGTCCCTCAGAAGCCCAGGCGCCACCTGCACAGCCCCCACAGCGCAAACACCATCGCAACCCTGAGCACTTTGCCACCATCCGCACAGCCTCACTGGTAAGCCAGTCAAGTCGGATCTGAACTGAAATGCTTCACAACCCTAGTGTCCACATTGGACTAGTCAAAACTAAATCGCTCGTATTCTAATCGATAAACTGAGGCATCGGTCGCTTCCAGTATAGACACAGTGTAAAATGAATGACATCACAAGAATTTATTGTTTACTTCCAGTCTCAAATTCTTGTAATATTCAACATTCATTCCATTTTTCTTAAATGTCGCTTGATCATTTTTATTCACTGTCCCTCCTTTTCCTTGTGTCCCTCCTCTTGCCTCTTTCAGGTAACACGACAGATGCAGGAACACGAGCAGGACTCTGAGCTGAGGGAGCAGATGTCCGGTTACAAGCGCATGAGACGGCAGCACCAGAAGCACCTTATGGCCCTGGAGAACAAACTGAAAGCGGAGATGGACGAACACAGGCTGAGACTGGACAAAGAGCTGGAGGCCCAGAGGAACAGCTTTGCCAGTGAGATAGAGAAACTTGTGAAGAAAAACCAAGCAGCCATTGAGAAAGATGTAAGTGCACACGAGACGTGTCACATGAGGGAATTCCACCTGAAAACTGCTCAGGAATTCTTCCTCATATGCCATTCAAACAGTTACTTAATCAAGTAATAATATCTTTCATATGCATAACTTGGCCAAAAGTATGTGACGACCCTTTCTGATTAACTGACCCCTCAATTCCAGTGAAGACAAATCTTAATGTTACATCATAAAATGGCATTCTTGTGAATTATGTGCTTCATACTTTGTTCTGCTTCATTATGACAAAGGCTCTGTGCACAAAGCTATTAATAATGAATTTTATTTTATTTTTTTATTTAATTTTATTTTTTTATTATTCATTTTCATTATCTTGAAGGCCAAGTCATTTGCCAATGATGAGAAGAAATTCCAACAGCACATTCAAGCCCAGCAGAAGAAAGAGCTTAGTAGCTTCCTGGAGTCACAGAAACGAGAGTACAAGCTACGCAAGGAGCAACTGAAAGAGGTATAGGCATATTTAAGCAAGCTTATTTAAGAGGTATAGGCATATTGAAGCAAGCTCAAAAGGTGGGGTTTTTGCCCACCTATGAATCCACCAATTGTGTTTTTCATCTTGGTGTAATTCCACCTTGATTGACCTCTATTATGAGATCTTTATGCATGAACAGTGCAAATGAATCAAGACAAGTGAAAAAGCAGGAAAGTGGGCATGGTCAATACAGCTGAAAATTAGAGATGCACTTGAAATTTTAGCTAACTAAAAAAAAATGTGTTTGTTTTTGGCTGAAACTATTTTTAAGGGCAAAAACCATTCACTGAGGCATTGACATTTAATTAGTACTTCTCCTTAGGCTGGCTTTTTCGTGGATAAGCAACAACAGGTAAAGTTTGCTGTTTATAGCACAAAATAAACATGAATGAACATCAGAAGGTATGTTGGAAGAAACAAGTTACTGAAATGTATCATGTCTTATGTAATCGCTCAATCAGTTTTTCAGTCTTGGAAAAAGTCAATAAAACAGCTTGTAAACAATGTTACATAATTTTTTATTTACCTCAAGATAGCAATTCAATGTCTGTAGCTTGTTAGCTAACTAGAAAACAACTCTAGATAAGGAACATTTTGTTAAATATATGCGCTATATTACATATTCATTGTTTTTACTAATCAAGTTGTCTTCATTATTTAATATATGTTTGAATAATAGCCACCGTTTAAATTTCAACAAATCAGAGTAAAAACATTATAATATAATCAATTAAAAAGTTAATATAAAAGCGCCTTCTATGCAATTGAAATAAGTGTTGATTATTAAATACATTTCATGGATTAATTATTAAATTAACTTTATTTTTGGTTTCAGTAAAAAAAAAAAAAAAAATTCTCAGGATCACTACTAAAATGTAATGTTTCTTTATTGTTTAGCCAGTTGACAATTTTCAGTATACATCCGACCTAGAGGATGAGAAGGACTATTGTTACTAAGTAGATTGCAAATATAAATGTCATAATTAATAAAAATAAAAGTTTAGCTACTTATATTTATATAAATAAGTATTTCCGCTTAACAAGCTCCCATTAATGTTTCCCACACTGTTTAGGAGCTGAATGAGAACCAGTCCACCCCTAAGAAGGAGAAGCAGGAGTGGCTGTCGAAGCGGAAGGAGGACTTTCAGCACTACCAGGCAGAAGAGGAAGCCAACCTTCTCCGCCGACAGCGGCAGTACCTTGAGCTCGAATGTCGCCGCTTTAAACGCAGAATCCTCATTGCAAAACACAATGTAGAGCAAGACCTCGTGCGGGAGGTAATGTTGCTTTTCCTAAACTGTCAAATGTCTGTTTTTATTATTGACTAATCTATCCATGATTCCTTCGATTAATTGGATTAGAACCAAAGAAAACCAATATAATGACAAGAGGTTTTCTTGATCCAGGAGCTTAATAAGCGGCAGACGCAGAAAGATCTGGAACACGCCATGCTGCTCCGCCAACACGAGTCGATGCAGGAGCTGGAGGTGAGGCAGCTGGGCACCATCCAGAAGATGCGTTCAGAGCTGACCCGCTTGCAGCATCAGACCGAGCTCACCAACCAGCTAGAGTACAACAAACGCAGAGAGCGAGAGCTGCGCCGCAAACATGTCATGGAGGTCCGGCAGCAGCCCAAGAGCCTTAAGGTGCGTTTCCTTTTAGCCTATGCTCGTTTTTGTAGTGCACACCAGCCGCGGCTCGTCTGTAAGGGCCCCACCATAATATTCATCCAAACATAGACCTCTATATACACTGAATTAATAATAAATTGTAAATATTTTTCCGATTTTCTAGACTAATTTGAGTCGTAAAGTGAGCAGGATATATTAAAATTTCGCGCATGGATTCGGCAGGCGTGTATCACCGTGTATCTGCCATTGGGGCAGATTCAGACTGCCCCGCTTATTTTCACGTTTCCTCGCATAAACCTCGTTCCAGACCAAGACGATATCAGTGCGCTTTGTGTCTGCATCAGGTCAGTAACTAGTTGGCGTGTCAAGTTAATTCAAGTCACCTTTATTCATATGGTGCTTTTTACAATTAGGCCTGTCCCGATAACCGCAATATTGCGGTACCGCGCTACTGACAGGCCAACCGCAGAGGAATGTAAGTAACCGCAGCAACCGCCAAACCGCGTTTTCTTTTTTCATAAGGCCACCCTTTGTAGTTCGTACCATGTATTGAATGTTAAAAAAGTTAATAATGATAACAAGACTGTTTATCATGGTGATTTGTACAGAGGCTTCGTGGATTTGGACTTAAGCCTAAACAGACAGTGAATGAGATCGCCTGAGCGCGTGCGATTACCTGCGTCTGTCTAGTCAAATCATGTATATTCGTGAAAAGGTTGCCGTTTCCAAGGAAAGCGAAATGTTTGTCGTATCATCCTTTTAACGTGTATGGGTAGGCTATTTACCATGAATGGCGTCAGCGCTGGTCAGCATTACACAGCGCGAGGAAGCCGTGGGGGGAAAGCAGCGAGTCACGCATTGGTCTCTATTAAGTGAAGCATTGCTGGCCAGCTGAGCCTTGAAAAGGGGAGCTCAAAGTAAAAAAAAAAAAATGAACGCCTTGTTTCATTACATCTATCATTTAAGGAATCAGCTTTTTTGAACGTTTTCGTTGAATGAACGGTTTAATGACTCACTCAAAGACAGTCCGTTGGCATAACAATGTAACTGCGCGCTGAGTGACAGTCTTTCAATGCGCAGAGACGCTGTTTAGTTTCGGTTACATTGTTTTTGTGTATGCTGACCACATCATAACACGTAGCCTATTTATAGCAACAAATAAATATAAATAAATAAATGGTGGTAATACCGCATATCGTGCTATTGAGCCACTCAAAATTACCGCAAGGGAAATTCCTTCACCGCGACAGCCCTATTTACAATACAGATTGTTTCAAAGCAGCTTTACAGTGATAACAGGAAAATAATGCAACAAAGTTTGTTTCGGCTATACAGCAGATCTAGAAGAAAATAGCATCATTGTCCAGCTGTAGCTAGTAAGTTCAGTGATGGTTCATTTTTGTTGTAAAAAAGTTATTCATTTAGTTCATTTATATATAGCCGCTCTGGAGAAAACCGTGATGTCATCGTCCAGCTCAGTTCTGTTCTCATATAACAGTGTCAATGCAGGCAGATCAATAATATTATTGAATGTTACGTCCCCGACTAAGCAAGCCAAAAGCCAAAGGTGACAGTGGCAAGGAACCAAAACTCCATCAGGTGACAGAATGGAGGAAAAAAAAACCTTGGGAGAAACTTAGGCTCAGTCGGGGGGGCCAGTTCTCCTCTGGCCAACGAACGAACGGTGTATGATTATGATTCAGGCTGCATTATAGATCAGAAGTCAGATTGGATTGAAACATTCAGAAGATTTATCTAGTTCCATCTGGTTGAAGATCGGAGTCATTACGCCGGTATAGAGACGGGTTTGTTGAGGATCAGTGCCGAAGAACAGTGTGACTGTTTAATGAATGTAGTGTAGTGTATCAAATTAATGAATGTATAAATCCTTTAGTTTAAATGTGCTCATTTATATACAGTTGTTCTGTTGTGTTTGTTCTGAGAATAGACATGACTTTGTTTTCCTCACAGGAATTCCTACACAACATTCGGAGGCAATAAATGCTACATTCAGGCAATATTAAGATAGCAATCTATAGGTTTGTCATGTGTAATAAAGTCTGTCAGTCATCATTAGAGCGCCTCCCTCAGGCTGCATACTGCAAGGACATTAGAATTCTGCCAAAAGATATCTGATATGTGCAGCGATTCGAATATAAAGCTTACAAAATGTGTATCATAAACTAGCGCCAAGACCCGGAATCTGCCCTACCTTAATTTACGTTTAAGTTTACGCCACTGGTGCATACTAGTTTTGTGGTGCAAGTAAGCCTTTCCTCCTCTTTGATCCGTATCAGTCTAAAGAGATGCAGATCAAGAAGCAGTTCCAGGACACGTGTAAGATCCAGACACGGCAGTATAAAGCCCTGCGCAACCACCTCCTGGAAACCACACCCAAGGCCGACCACAAGGCTGTGCTGAAGAGGCTGAAGGAGGAGCAGACACGGAAGTTAGCCATCCTCGCTGAGCAGTATGACCATTCCATCAATGACATGCTCTCCACACAAGCTGTGAGTCCTCCCATCTAATGTGTATATCTTCATGCAAAGCCATCAAGGAAGGATGCCTATGTAATGCAGGAGGCAAAATGTTATCTTTTCTATCTTTTACACACCGATTCTAAATGTAACTCCATCTCCCGTCTTGCTCCTCAGCTGCGATTGGACGAGGCACAGGAGGCCGAATGTCAGGTGCTAAAGATGCAGCTGCAGCAGGAGCTGGAGTTGCTAAATGCCTATCAGAGCAAGATCAAAATGCAGACGGACTCGCAGCACGATCGTGAGAGGAAAGAGCTGGAGCAGAGGGTTTCGCTGAGGAGGGCTCTTCTTGAACAGAAGGTAACTGATACAAATCCAAGCAGCACACTACAGAAATTACAGATGAGAGCTTTTGATGTTCCAGAATAAGAATTAAAGCTATAGTTCACCCAAAAATGAAATTTGATTTCAAACTTTTTTCTTTTCAGGTGGAATACAAAGGTTGAAAGTTCGGAAGCATTTAAAAAAAAGTTTTGAGGAACGTGTTTAGCCTAACCCCTTCGCTGTCACCCCCCCTTTTGAGAATAGGGGTTAAAATGCACTATTCAAACTTAAATGGTTGTAATTCAAGAATGCTTTGGAATATATACCCAAGTTTGGTCTTGTTTTAAAGAAAACACTCAGCAGATTATTGCTGAAGTGAAAACACTTTAAAAAATTAAAGTATGAAAAAGTTATGTAAGTTTAAATTTACAGTAAATCAAATATACTGTACTATATATTTTTTATTTTATATAAAATATATATTTTACAAAATATTTTTTCCTCAAAAATTACTATAAAATCAAAGCCATAAATCTAACCAAGTTATGTTCCAAATTTGAAGTTGAAATCACAAAAATTGAAGTTCCCATGAGATTTTGTTTAGGCGTAGTACCAAAAATAGCCACCGGGTGCCATTGAATTCCATTGAATTTAGTTGTAAACATTCTGCCTTATCAAATTAATAAATTTATGTCCAAAAATCAATTCTGTCACAAAATATGGAACCTTGAGACACAGACCTTTCTGACAATATGTGTTTTGTCAAGATTAGAAAAGGTTTTGATCATAAATTATGAAATATAATGATGCCCGAAAGGGGAGGAGCCTGATAAAATAATTTAGAGTACCGTTTCTCGGGTAACGCAACGTTCAATTATAAAACGGTTTTCACAGGAGGAATTCTGAGTTTATAAGCTTTCAAATGATACCTGATTTATGATAACTACTACAATATGTGATATAATAAAAAAGGCGATAAAAACATATTATATTTTAGAGGATAATATATATATATATATATATATTATAATGTTTAGAGGATAATATTATATTACAATTTATTATTGAAAAATACTAGATTATATGTTTTATTATGAACTTTTAGCATAAAAACATAAGTTTCAATGATTAAAAGTGGGTGCATCGACTTTTTGTGACAAAGGTCATACCTCCTGTTATGATGCAGATTTTTTGAGGTGCACTCTTGTCATAAATTCATCAATTACTCTTCCTACATAATTTGTAACACAAAACAGGGGTAGAATATCTATTTAGAAGTCTTAGACCTCTCCAACAATATACAATTTGTCATAATTAGATTAGGATTTAATAGAAATATAGTGAAGTAAAGTTAGGCGTCCCGCTAGCGGGACGGTGACAGTTAAGGGGCTAAATTCTTGTCAAATTCACTAACTATGTTTTGCCATTAATGATGTTGACCCTGCAAGTTTGAAAAGAATTCTACTTTTATGTTCTACGGATTCTAGAACATAAAACAGGGTTCGTACAAGGTGCTTAAAGTGCTTGAAGTACTTGAATTTGACTTTTTGAAATTTAAGTCCTGGAAAACCCTTGAAAACAGCCATATTTTTGAAGAGGTACTTGAAAAGTGCTTGAATTATTATAGGGATGCACCGATACCGAGCTCATGTACTCGTAAAAATGCTCTGATACCATTAACCGATAGGCCTACCGGGCAGCGTGTGTATAGTAATGCATAGCTGTGGTGCGCGAGCTGATCATCAGAGAAAACCGCGCGCGCAGCAGCACAGACGAGCACATCTCTTTAAACAGACATCAGTGGAAGGTTTGTAGTTTAGTCGGATGTCAATGGCAATGAAAATAAAACAAGGCATGTACTAGCTTATTATTAACGTTAACTCACGAGAGAGAGCGCAGTTCTGTTGAATGCTCTTGATTGCTAAATCGTTCACTCAGCTCGTGTTATTTCTTTGGATGACAACTAAATCAAGTAAAGTAAAACATGACCTGTTACCTGATTTATGTATAACGAGTGATTCCCTACATTATTACTGGACGTTTGCAGACAATAAGTTCCACGAACGCAAGCATCCAAAGCGCGCGCCCCGGAAACCAGCGTGTCAGCGCGCGAATACTGAATTGAATTGTCTTTCACGTCTTGCGCTTGTGCGGAGGAATTCACACAGAATTATGTAAAAATGCCCATATTTGCGAGTATCCTAGTAAACAAAGTCAGGTATATCAAGTGAACGTAGCCATGGGGTCCGTGCATTCGGTCTTAAAGGGGCAGCACTTCAATAAACCCACTGCTGTTTTAATGTTAATCAAACAATGAATGGACAAATAAATTACTCACTGCTCTTGACTAAATAGTCTACCCTTTTCAACTTTCAAAAGATCCATCTAGATTTAATTTATCCAGTAATTTGTAGCCTTTCTTTGTTCTATTGTATTTATTTGTAAGTTGATTATTCGTTCTTATTTTGTTGCTGACTGCTTACATTTTAATAATGTTTTAAATTCACATTAATTAGGCTGGCAGTTTTTGTTGTAGTATCAAAATTGGATTAAATTATTTATATTTCACTGGTGTCTAAACATTTGTACCACCGACCCAATTCTCAGCACTGACATTTCTGGAGCTGCTCTAGTCTAAATATGTGCTGTGCTATTCAATGAAATATAAAATATGATAGAGCAATAGCATGTACAGTAACAAAAGCTCATACAATGCAATTTAGCAGGCTTAATTAAGCATGCAAATAATTGAAAGAAATATATATTTGATAAACAAATTAAGCCAACTAATATGATTATTACTAATACATTAAAAAATTACAAATGCAGTGAAAATTCAGGGATCGGTTACAGTATCGGTATCTTCTTCTGCAAAAAAGTGGTATCGGTCCATCCCTAATTTAAAATATTGTGCGTTTTTTTTTTTTTTTTTTTTTAAATACAATTGTTTCACGCTAAATCAACGCTGTAGCCCGTCTGAGATATAGAGCTATTTCCCATGGCTATGAGCATGATATTAAGTATATGATAAGTATATAATACAACTTTCATTCTTCAGGTCAATCATATATATTAATGGGGGGAAAAATCAGTTTCAATATCCTTTCAATGGTTAAGGCGATTTCCCATGCCTGCCAGCGCTGGTCAATGGATTCACCTCTCTGAATTGAAACATCAATAAGTCAAAATAATAATCAAGATTTTGTTTGATAAGTGCCGATTGAAGTCCTTGAAATCCAAAAAAGTAGTGCTTGAAAAGTCCTTGAAAGTCCTGGAATTTCATTTGACAGAGTCTGTACGAACCCTGATAAAAGAAGAATTCTACTTTTGTTGCAGTTTTAGAATTACATGAGGGTCAACAAGTGAGAGAAAGGCTGGAATACACTACATAACTTTTAAAATCTGAACTCTAGGCATAATACACTTGCCGACTGAGGTTCCAACCACAAAAAACCTTGGAGATGCATGACAAATGAAAACGATGTGTTCTAAAATCTGCTCAAAATATCAAAGATGTTATGAAATTTTATGTGCAATCTCTCAACTCTGACTGCCACACATCTGCAGAATAGTGAATGGACTTTGGGCGCACTCCAGACTGCAAATCAGGGCAAAAATCATTGTATAGTGTATTCCAGCTTTAACTATCCCTGTAGCAGCTGGGAAAATGTCATGTCATCATTGAAGCGTTACCTGATACTATTTTGGTTTTGGTCAGATTGAAGAGGAGATGGTTGCCCTGCAGAACGAGCGATCAGAACGAATCCGCAGTCTGTTCGAGAAGCAGGCCCGGGAGATCGAGGCGTTTGACTCTGAAAGCATGCGTCTGGGCTTCAGCAACATGGTGCTCTCCAGCCTGGCTTCGTCCGACGGACACAGCCACAGCTTTCCAGGGGCCCAGAGTAGCTGGGGCTCTCAGCACGGTGCAGGCTCTCAGGGGTCACACTGGGGAGGGCAACATAGCGGCAGCCAGCACGGCCACCACCAACACCCAAGCCACGGTGGCTCTATCCAGCAGCCCTGGGGTCACGGCCTGTCTTCAGGGGGGCCGCCTCCCTGGGGCCACCACGGGTCTGGAGGCAGTCAGCGCTCGAGTGGGGGAAGCAGTGGGCTACGGAACAGTCCCCAGGCAGTACGGCGGGCCACCTCAGGGGGCCGCAGTGAGCAGGGGATGAGCAGGAGTGCCAGCATCGCCTCTCAGATTTCCAATGGCTCGCACCTGTCCTACACGTAAGATCCCCCGCTGCTCTCCCACAACACCTGTCTTGGCCTAAAATGCCATAGGGGACGGGATAAAGGGGCACCATGGTCTTTTTTTCTTTCTTTTTTAACACCCATTCCTTTGTTTCTAGTCCTCGGAATACATATTTTATACACATGGCAAGCACAAAATGCATTCACTGTAAGTTCCAGTTAAAGAAAGTCTATATATTTAGTCAGAATATTCTGGCCTGTTTTATCAAACTTCAGCTAGAATCCAGAATGACAAAGTCATTTTTGCAGTGATGCGATGTGCATTTTAGAGCGTGTTAGATTTGATATGAGAATGTTAGTGATGGTAAGAATGAATAAATGAATGCTGTGTATTGTATGCAAGTCTTTATGCAGTGGGTTTTTATCATGGTCTTATTAGCAGGTTGTTTCGGCTGGCTTCGTTTGCAAAGAGTGGGAGTTGAACGCATAGGAATCCAAAAGGAAATGATAGGAATAGGTTGGATAGCAGAATGTGAAAGAATCAAGCTTTACATTGCACTTGATTTTTGTCTAGCGTATTCTTTTATAAAGCACTAATGTTTTAATGTGTTAATAAACCGTATGCTATTTTGTGCCAGAACAAATTTTAACTATGAAAAGATACTGTGAAATTCCAAGATTTTGCTAGGAGTATTATTTTGATTATTGGATTAGCGTGATTTTACAATTTTGCCATGCATTGCCATCCCTCCACTAAAAACTGTGGAGAGCAGGATGCCATTTTGCTTTTTTGAAAACAAAGCTTAAAACTCTGATAATAAGTGTAACAGGTTTGTTCCATTTCTATATGCCAAAAGGACATACAGTAGTAGTAGGTGGTTATAAGCTAAAGGTAGGTGTGCAAAATGACTACATTAATGTGAAGGTCTTGAAAAGTGGGGGTCTCTTGGACTGAATATGTAGAATGACACTTTAAAACATGGTTTGCTTTGTGAATGTACATGAGCATTAAAGCATGTTGGCAAGGTAGATCTTCACTTCTGGATACTAGTATGACAAAAGCTGTTGGAAGTATGTTAATGTTCGTTTTAGTCTTTTGATTTAGTGATGCCAAAGGTAACAATCACAACTATGCAAAAGGAGAATAGCCTGTCAGCCACATTCACGTCTTCTTACACTGAGCGTAACATCCCAGAAAAGCACTTTACCATCCCTTTCTACTCTTAGTTGATCACTACAATCATATACGAGCAGATCTCCTGGACCTCGGGTGCCCCCTCCTCCCCTTTCTCAGGCTGGGTTTTACAAGAGTGTGTTGTGTGGATTTTCAGGGTGGGGAGGTCTAGGTTGGGTAGGCTTGAGACCGCTGAATGTTTTTGCTGGGCGGGCGGGTGGGTGCCGCTGCTGTCGTCCCTGCAATGCCTTGGTTTCTTCCATGCCCACCCCAGAGCTCCAGTGACTGCTGCCCACCCTCCAACCGAACACTTATCACAGCATGTAGAAAAACAAAAAGTGATTAAAAATGCAATGAAAAACAAGGTTAGATAGCATATAAAACATTATGGTGGAAGGGTATACAGCCAGAAGACAGCTTTAAGTGAGATGTATAGGAAAACATTTGTGCATATTGTATATTTAGAAATTTAAATAAATGAATAAATGGAAATCAAGAGAGACCCAAGTTAAAACTAGACTAAAATTTAATTGCTTAAATGTGAAGATAAAAAAAAAAAAAAACTTGGTTTCTAATATCGATTATTTAAAAAGAGAAAAAATTATATATATATATATATATATATACATATTACAGAGGTGTCAAGCGAAGCCAAAAAATATTTTATTTTCCCTTAGATTCACACAGAGGATATCACTCTTTATATGGATTTTTCCATCGTCCTCTCTTTGCTTCCTTCTCTCCTTGCTTTCAAAGGTATTAATTACCATAATCACTCGTGCCAGTACTCATATTCTGTTATCTGTGAACCAACAGTGAACTTTAATATTCTGAAACATAAATGCCATGGGTTTTCTTTTGTTTCGGTCAAAAAACGAGAAACATTTTCAACTGCCATCATGCCTATTACAGAAGAGCTTCAAAAACATTTTTTTCCAGGAAAATAAGTTCCGGTTTGGAATTTCAGTGCTGTCTGCAATATTTATCAATTCTGAACACTATTTTTGGCACACTTCTGGTATATGCATGGGATTGCAGATTACATGAAGTTGCCTATCTCAGTCTGACTAACTAAACCAACTGAGCCAATGCATAGCCAATCCTAAAGATTTGGGCCAAGTGTAACAAATTAACATGAGATTATATATTACATGCCAATCATCTAATCACATTCAGTACTCTAATGGAATCACTGGACCCAAGGAACAGCCATAGACTCAAAATGTGATCGTGTGTACTCTTGCAAACAGGGTCATGCAGTATTTTCCAAAGGAGAGCAGTGTGCCCTGTTATATGAGAGTAGATTTCTTTTGAAGCTCTTAGCATCCTTGTTTTAATGAGCCTTTGAAAAAGTGTGAAAACAACAGGATAAATAATAAAGGAAGGTGGTACATCTCTGTACAGTGCGTTTACCAGTATTTCAACCATTTTCTTTTGATGGTCATCCCCTCATTTTTCCGGCTTTCAACATTACCATAGCAATCCATATATAACCTGTATTAAAATGTATAGATTGTGCAAAACTGAATGTTGGAGAGATTACAAAAAGTTATGACTATTCATAACAAAAAACACAAGTGAATTAAAATATACAAAAATTATGAAAACTTAAGGGGACAAATGTCATGTTTTGTTTGTAATTACTCCTTTTGTTGGCAGGGGGCTACTGGACAAATAAATCAACTGTAATAAAGTAATTTTAGTATATATTGGTTTTGTCATTTGTATCTTTTAACACATTTGTGTATGTTTAAAATCGAAGAGTACTTAAAAAGTGTAGTCTTTCCTGTACATACTTTTCATGATCAATGTTCAAGTTAATTAACAATATTGATTCCTTTGAACACTGTGCTCTTGAATTCAGATAATGTGTTATAGAGCTCTTTACTGTGGTATCATATCTACTGTATTGAGGAGAAACTGACTTGCATACAGAGAGTTGCCCAGCTTGCTCCAAGTGATTAGTTTGTACAAAGAAAATGGGATAGCTTAATATAGTATCTAATGGTATAGGCTGATTAAGCCCCATGCCAGTCAGTACATGTCTTTTTTTATTACATCTCCATTTTGTTTGTTTTTTGAAATCTGTATTGTAATCTCCTTCTTGCTCATTTTCACACAAATGTGGTTTCCTAACTGAGGGAAACCTAACAGTTTTTAAACATATTATGTGCCTCTTGGTATTAAGTTTAGCACTGCCAATCTACTATGATCTTATGATACCACCTGCTTCCCTCACTCAGCGAGTGTAGGATCTATTCCAAGTAAAATCCACATGCTCTTCTTCAAATGTGAATCTGTCCGAGGGAGTTGAGATCTGCCGTCTTCGTGAACCTAAGATGGGCCTTTCTTTGCGAAGCAAGGTTGACCTCCTCCTTCTGGACAGCACAGCACTGGCGCTATGCCTCAGGCCCTGGCTGCCACGGTGTGCAACATCATCCTTGAACCCTTTCTTCTCTTCTACCCCGAAGAAATCGGCAACTACCCGAAAGTATTCCAACACCACAAAATGACTCCAGGAAGTAGTACCTCCATGTCTATCCTCATGAAGAAAGCCACAGTGGCCTCCCTGTTCTGTTATGGCCAGCAGAAAGTAAGGGCTATCATGAAAAAGTGCCTTGGGTACAGTGGAGAGAGGTGGAAGTAAAGGATCATCTCGGCTACACAAACAGAGCACTGGCACTGCCACTTCGTCTGCATCTCGCAAAGGTTCATTCCTCTCCCAATAACTTGCCCAATCAGGCTTTGTTGATGATCTTGAACGGTCCTTTCCAACATGGTCTATTGAGTCTGACATTCTGTGATCAGACTGCTTAGTAGCACAGAACATGAGCTCTTCTATATCTTGCAAAGAGGTGGAGTGTAGAATTTTTGCTACATCCATCACAGCGCTCAAAGCAGTAGCGTACCTGTGGAAGGGGTCAAATGTTTAAATTCAAACAGTTTGTAATCCTAGTTGCCTTTTAATATGGCAGGTTTGCACTGACATCTTACAACACCCTAACTTAGCTTGCAGATTTTGTACTTTTCCATTCACAAGATTCAGTTCACCCAAAAATAAAAATAACGTTTTTTACTGTTGTTCCAAGCCAAAGATATTGCAGGCCAATATACTGCAGGCCTTGAATCGCTGACAGGTGTAGATTTTTTTTTGTATGTAGGTGTAGATGACTCGGGCATCAGAGATGTATTGGCACTTCTTTCAGATCACGGCTTTTGTCTAAAATCACCATTGACTGTCGCAAGTTGAAAATCAGAGCTAAAATGATGTACTGTAATGTGTGGGCAGCATAAGAGAAAATGGAATGGATTGATGCTGTAGGCCAAGGGTGTCCAATCCTGTTCCTGGCGATCTACCTACCTGCAAAGTTCAGATCCAACCCTGATCAAACACACCTGTCTGTAATTATCAAGTGCTTAGATCTTATTTATCTGGTTCAGTTGTATGATCGGGGTTGGAGCTGAACTTTTTAGGAAGGTAGATCTCCAGGAACAGGATTTGGCACCATCAAAAATGGCCATAAAGCACCATAAAAGTAGTCCATATGATTTGTGTGCCAAGTTGTGGCAAGATCATTGTTAAAGGGGATAGTTCACCCAAAAATGAAAAATACCTCATGATTTACTCACCCTCAAGCCATATAAGGTGTATATGACTTTCTTCTTTCAGACGAATGCAATCGGAGATCTTTTAAAAAATGTCCTGGCTCTTCCAAGCTTTATAATGGCAGTGAATGGGGGAAAAGATTTTGAAGGCCAAAAAAGTCCATCCATCATCATAAAAATACTCCACATGGCTCCGGGGGTTAATAAAGGCCTTCTGAAGCGAAAATATCCATATTTAAAACTTCATAAACTAAAATAACTAGCTTCCGACAAACAGCCGTACGCATCAATTTACGGCGAAAGAGTGACCTCTGACCTGATGCATGACGTACTGATGAACGTGGAAGCGCAGAGGATAGAGCAAAACAAAACACCGGTCATTAATTTTTAAAGAGAAGAGGAACTTGTCGGGGTTACTCTTTTGACGCAAGTCGACTTGCGTAGGCCGTCTGCTGGAAGCTAGTTAATTTATTCTATAAAGTTTTAAATATGGATATTTTTCTTATTAAACCCAGAAGGCCTTTATTAACCCCCTGAAGTCATAAGGATTACTTTTATAATGGATGGATGCACTTTTTTGGACTTCAAAATTAGGACCGCCATTCACTACCATTATAAAGCTTGGAAGAACAATGATATATTTTTTTTTATGTAACTCGTCTGAAAGAAGATCATCATACACCTAGGATGGCTTGAGGGTAAGTAAATCATGGGATAATTTAAATTTTTTGGTGAACTATCCCTTTAAGGCTCACAAAATTCAGTGTCACAAGGTTTGACTTGAGTGATGTCAAATGGCATAGGATGTTTCTTGAAATGCTTAAGTTGAATGAACTACTTTTTTATTATGCTTTCTTCCATTTCTAGAGATGTATCATTTTTAAGACATCTATTTCTTTAACCAGTACCTTAACAGTACTACAGCAGTAGATTCTGCAGTCCAGAACATGCATGCAAGATAACACCTTCATTAAAGATCAAAGGTCTACATTTCTGTGTAATTTGCTACCTGTTTATTTGAAGCTTGCGATAGATGAGGGCTATCCAGTGATAGAGCCAAGGAAGCTCATACTCGAACCACAGTTGGCCATGAAACACAGGAGAGATGCAAGCAGCAGCCGTCAGGTAGGATGAAGAGCCACATTCCCCCAGATATGACAGCAGCAACCCTGATCCCGAGCCCTCACTTATTGCAAGCAAAGTTGAGGATGGATGATGACTCCGCAAGTATGCTACCGCTTGCACAAGGTCAGAAGGATTTCCGAACTCCTGGTAGTGTGGAGTGGTCAGCGGGCAACCACCTTGACCACGTCGATGGAACACCACTGGATAGAAACCCTGTTGCAAAGCCTGGTGGCACAATCTGATCAAGTGTGGCGTTACTCTGCCCAGGGCATTAGGAATTATAACAACAATAGCCGGATTGCTAGAGTGAAGGCCCAGAACTTTTCCACCAGGATGATGATCCCTTTTGGTCTGAACTTGTTGCTCCATCAGACTCACAGCCCAGTCCAGGGCCACAATACCCCCGTCCTCTAGGAGAAGGTTATCCCTTTTAAAGCGGACTCCTCCTTGGAGTTCAGCACCTTCCTCTGTGGGCCACATGAGATGGGTGATTATCTGAAGATGAGGGTCGGTCTGAGGCCACCGTGCCAATGGAGGCTGGGTCAAAGCATAGCAGTGTTTCTTCAGGTGGCTGGCAAGGGCCGTGGGTTTACAGATCAGTCTGACTTCTCCCTGGCATTCTCCTATGGATTTGGAGACTGGAATATGCGGCAGTTTCAGAACTCTACAGGCCATAATCCACATACAGTGACCCAACTGCTGAACGGTACTATCTGCAAGATGGCAGATCCAGTTCAATCGAAGCAAAATCTTTACCAGGATCAGCATTAGATAAGGTAGCAGGCAAAGAAAGAATTCCCACATTGCTGCGATTGCTCCGAAGTCTGTAACCTGTAGGTCTATCCAATGGAACAATGAACATACCTTAGCACTGAGGTTGGTGGGCAATGGTTTCCTCAAGTGAGCAAGTGAAAAAACTCAAAAGAGCTTTAAACCAAATGTTCTGTCCTACTCTCTCTAGTGCGTCAACCTAAATGGACTTGGACCTCCCCCCTCCCCATAGCAAACATCTCTACTCCCCCTTCAGAAATCATTAACAACACTTTGGTCCAAAGACTGTTTTTAGCTATAAGAAGCAGTTCAATAGCAATCTAATGGAGGTTTTGCTACTTGAATGTGTGAGATTCAAGCCATTCTTTCCTTTACTTCCATCAGAACCCACTTCAAGTGGGTTGAACGCAATATATCATCCTATAATATGAGACAATGGAATCACTCGCGCGTCACGCACGCAGTGAGACTGTTGCAACAATGAACAACTGAAACTTTGAAATATCAAAACAAAGTCTGTATATATACACAACAATTCAAAAGTTATGGGGAGAATATGCCGCCTAAGAAAAATATCCTACCCGATGAGGTGGAGGAGATCAAGAAATCTCTGGACTTCTTGTCGGCGGAGATTTCAACTGTAGCAGAGCAACAAAAGAAAATCATGGATTTGATGGGGGAAATACAAATGCTAAAGAGGCAAAGCTTGGAGAAGGACCGAAAGATCGCTATTCTGGAGACTCGAGTTGCTGACCTCGAGCAATACTCCAGAATTAATGATGTGGTTATCAGCGGCCTGAGAACCAAACACCGGAACTATGCCAGGGTGGCTGCAGACGCTGGGCATACTGCTGCCGGAATGAGTGAAGCCTCTGAGGGGGAGAAGGAGTCGCTGGAGCAACAGGTGACTTGCTTTTTGGACAGCAAAGACATTTATGTTGACAGCGAGGATATTGAAGCATGTCATACCTTGCCGAGCAAAAACAAAATGGCCACTCCGTTGGTAATAATCCGGTTCACGAACAGAAAGAAAAAGACAGCACTCCTCAGACAGGGAAGGAAATTAAAAGGCACTGAAGTATACATCAACGACCACCTTACCAAGAAAAATGCTGACATCGCCAAGAAGGCACGCATACTCAGAAAACAAAACAAGATCCAAGCAACATGGGTAAGAAATTGTAAAATATTCATCAAACTACATGGGTCGACACCTGAGACAGCGAAAGTGCTTCTCGTCAGGGACATCACTGAGCTGGATAAGTTTGAAGAAAGGAATGAATCGAGAGCAACATAGATCTACATAAGGTAACTGAATATAAACTGAACTGAACTTATTAAAAGCAATGACTATGAAAAATTCGGACAGAAACTCATCTGCTAAATATGAACAGCTGAACTTGGAAACTTTCAAATATACAGAACATAAATCACAAGATATTGAAAATGACATTGACCCAGATAATAACTTTTACATTGGTACTGACAGCCAGTGTGAATATTATACAGTTGAGCAGTTCAAAAAACACATAAAAATGGATGGCACAATATCAATTATACATTTTAACAGCAGGAGCCTTATCACAAACTTTTCAAAAATTAAACAGTGCCTAAAACAAGTGGAAAATAAATTCACAGCAATAGCAATAACAGAAACTTGGCTCACGGAAGAACATCATGATTTGGTTGAGATTGAGGGATACGAACTGTTTATCATCAACAGGAAACAATCCAAAGGTCCCGGGGGGGTTGCATTATATATTGACCAAAGATATCAATGTAAAATAATTAATAAAATGTCTTTTGTTTTAGATACAATCATGGAATGCATCACAGTACAGATTGAAATGGAAAAATCTAAGAACATTCTAATTAGTTGCATTTATAGGAAACCGGGATCAAATATTGACATGTTTAAGGGAAAAATAACAGAAATATTTAGTAATAGTAATAACAGAAAAAAATGGTTTTTATCTGCGGAGACTTAAATATTGATTTGCTCAACCCACATGAACATAATAAAACTACAGAGTTTATTAATTTGATGTATAGTACCGGTTTATATCCCTCAATCACTCGACCAACGAGAATTACAACAAATAGTGCTACATTAATTGATAACATATTTACCAATGTCATTGACTATAAAGTTGAAAGTGGACTAATAATTAATGACGTCAGTGACCATTTGCCAGTTTTTGCAAACATAGGCCTACATAGCTACACCAGGACCAAGAAAGACGACAAAATATACACAATGACCCGATACAGAACCCAAGAAAACATCAATACATTAAAAGAGGATTTAATGAAACAAGACTGGGGCAAAGTGTGCGTAGATAATGTGAATGAAGCCTATGATTCATTTTTGAATATCGTAACAACACTTTATGAAAAAAAATGTCCTGTAGTAAAAAAAGAAGTAAAACTGAAATCTGATGAAAAACCGTGGATAACTAATGGAATATTAAATGCGTGTAAGAAGAAAAATTTATTATATAAAGAGTTTTTAAAGAAGAGGACAAAAGAATCAGAAAATAAATATAAGATATATAAAAACAAATTAACCTGAATCATGAGAAACAGTAAAAAGACTTATTATAGTAAACTACTGGAGAAAAATAGAAGCAATATAAGAAATACCTGGAAGGTGCTGAATGAAATTATCAAGAATAAAAAAGGCAAAACTGGAGATACTAAATATTTTCTGACAAAAAAACAATATAGAAGTTAAGGATATGACCTTAGCTGCAAATGAATTTAATGATTTTTTTGTTGGAGTTGGTCCAGGTTTGGCTGAGGGGTTTGCAAAAACTGTCAGTATTAATGATGTGCTAAGCAAGAATGTAAATGTTATTGAATCTATGTTTGTTAAGGAAACAGATGAAAAAGAAATTATAGAGGTTGTTGAAACATTTAAGAGTAAAAAGTCAACTGATTGGAATGGAATAGACATGTTTATGGTTTATTATTGGTTGTGTTGTTAAGCCTCTAACGCATGTATGCAATCTATCTTTGAAAACTGGAGTCTTTCCAGATAAAATGAAAATGGCAAAAGTGATACCTGTATATAAGGCTGATGGAAAACATACACTTTCAAAACTACAGACCTGTTTCACTGCTCTCCCAATTTTCAAAAATATTAGAAAAAATATTCTCTAAAAGGCTTAATGATTTCATTACTAAACATAATATACTGTGTGATCAGCAATATGGTTTCAGGGCAAATAGGACAACTGCACATGCACTTATTCAATTTGTGGAAGAAATAACAAAATCAATAGAACAAAAAAAATATGCAGTGGGGATATTTTTGGATCTTAAGAAGGCATTTGATACGGTAGACCACGATTTATTGATTATGAAATTACACAAATATGGAATTAGGGGGACGGCACTTTCTTGGTTAAATAGCTATTTACATAATCGACAACAATATGTTGAATTGAAAAACCATAATTCAAAGTTAAAGAAAATTACCTGCGGGGTTCCCCAGGGGTCAGTGTTGGGACCAGTGTTGTTTAATTTGTATATAAATAATGTATGGGAGGTATCTAAAACACTGAAAACCATTTTATTTGCTGATGATACTAGTTTAATTTGTTCTGGAGAAAACCTGCAACAACTCTTGAATACAGGGGAAAATGAATTAAAAAAGATGAAGAGCTGGTTTGATGCAAATAAACTAACACTGAACTTAAGTAAAACTAAATTTATCATTTTTGGTAATCGTGCTACAACTATAAATAAAAAACTTATGATAAATGATATTGAAATAGAAAGAGTAAAAGAAATAAAATTTTTGGGAGTAATAATCGATGAAAAATTATGTTGGAAGCAACATATACATTATATTAAGGCAAAAATATCAAAATCAATTGCTATATTGTGTAAAATAAATTACCTATTAAATCAACAAACATTGTACATGTTGTATTGTTCCTTCATACTTCCATACATTTCTTATTGTTTGGAAGTATGGGGAAACACTTACAAAACCAACACTGAATCTATTTTTATCCTTCAAAAGAGAGCAATAAGAATTGTTAATAAAACCACTTATAGAGCACCAACTACTCCATTGTTTATTAGATTAAAAGCATTCAAATTTAGAGATATTGTTGACTTTAAAACTGCACAAATTATGTATAAAATAAATAATCAACAGCTATCGACCAGTATTCAGGGGTTGTTCCAAATGAGAGAGAGCAAACATCACTTAAGAGGAACATTGGTATTTAGAAAGAAACATATACGAACAAATTCTAGATATCACTGCATCACAACAAAAGGAGTGAATGTATGGAACAGCTGCAGTGAAGAGATGAAATCATGTACAACTATGAGTAAATTAAAAAAACTATTTAAACTGAAGATATTAAATGAATATGAAAAGGCCTTGAGGTGATAGTATTGTACAATAGTATCGTATTGCATGAATGTAGGTATGCATTTGTTTCTATGTGAAGGCATGGGTTTATGTGAACAGTAGGTAAGTTGATATACAGTCTATGTAAAGACGTATGTATATGAGAAGTGTCAAATTGTTTTGTATTTAACTAAATGATACCAATAGAGAAGGGGGTAGGACTTGAAAAGTTTGCTATGAACTTCTTCCTACTCCTTTTTGAACATGGGAATTTCTAAGTTGAATGACCTTTATTAATTTTGGAAGTTTGTGCTGAGAAGCACAGTTCCTTATATAACTATTATTTTAATTTTATTTGTATATGTGAAAGCATGTTTGTATAATTCTTATTTTATGTTTTCTAAAAAATAAACTACTACTACTACTGAAGTGCTATGGAGGTGGGACACATTGACACAGCCGTCTGAAAACAGTCTGAAATGGGTAGGAGACCTTGAGGATATTGCACCCAAACCAGTACCCTTTGTTTCTGGGTTGTTTATATAATAGAAATGAGATAGCTGTATGGTCCTATAACTAAAAACTGAATAGAGAAACTGTTTGCTATGTGACTAGAAATAAATTAGCTAGTCTCAGGAAGAGTAATTACCCATGGTAAATGTGTGGTGTGTGTGTCTTTCCATTTTTGTGACAATGCATGTAACAACGGCAACATTTTGTACAAAAAGGGTTTTATTCAAACTACAATACTCAAATGATCCTCTACATAAAACAAAACGATGTCTTTGGTTTTGATATTTTGATGTTTCCCCCCCTAGAATAATATTTACATTTTGAAATGTTAAACAGAAGCCACATGAGTTTTAGTTCTGTTGGTCAAAGCTGGAAAGGCAGAGGCGTGTAAAGTGAGAGGTTAGTAGCAATTTAAGAATCAATAATGCAAGCACTCCTTACAGAAGAGGGACAAATGGAGACATGCTGTCTATGCTAACATTCTTTTGCTTTCCATGTCAAATCATTATACTTAGATTTATAAGATTTGATATCTGCGAACAAAGATTTGCCCAGGAGCAACCTGAATGGGATGATTTTAGTATCAAAATGATTAACACGTGCAAGCACACTTATCAATGAACTTGATACATGTTGCAGAAATGTTTTATCCATGCCTTTCAACTTGTGTGTGCAAAATTCAAAATTGAATGAATGTGAAGCAATTTGTACAAATAGAGACATTTTTGTGAATACAAATGTTTTCCTTTGTATTAGTGTATCATAATTTGCACATGCAACACAGAAGACGTGCATGTGTGGATCAGGTGACGCGCGTGCATTCATTGACTCGTTTCTGAGTCGATCCTATTTGATTCATTTGGATTTTGAGACTTTCATTTCGCGGGTTTCGCCTTGCACGATCCACACACAGCTGTCTGAGAAAAGCTGCTACCACTAGATGGCAGTATTCTGCTAAAACAGACAACGGCAGCATAATCAAGCGTTCTTCCGCATTTAAGACGCTTAATGAGAGTGATATTAAAGCACCAAATTTAGTACACAATAATATAGGCCTACCCTATTAATAAAGCATACTTTATAGAGGCAAACATTACGTCAGATTATGAACAACACCCATAGAAAACCATTATAAAACGCTTAACGTGCAATCGCGCGTTGCATGTTCAGTAAGGTGTATTGGCTACTGAGTTTAAATATCACCGTCTTACTGCATTGACGTTAAGCTTTTTCTTTATAATATGCTCTATGGGAGGAAAACTATATAGCCTACAGACAAGAGACTACATGAACGCAACGCACGGCGTTTCAAGTTAATACAATTTTCCTTCCTGTTAAAAAAAGGTGAAATTTCGCAGTTGCGTTCATATTATATGCTTATTTTTATCTGACTACACATTGTGTACATAGTATACAAGCAGGAATTTGAAAATGTCTGTTTTTAAATATTAAAAACGATTTTCGCAGTAGGCTACATTTGTTTTCCCTTGACCCTTAAGCCATAGGCTATAGTCTTACTATAGCACGATGAGTTTTAACAATATGCAACCATTGTATATCGACATGAAATATTAATTGAAAATCAACTGGCGTAGCGGGCCTGTAGCTGCATATTTCTACACGAGAATGCTTTGACGCGCTAACCACAGCTCATGATGCACAAGGGAACGTCTGCCAATTCCACTAACTGCGTTAAAACCACTGATCTATAATGTCATTCTATATAGATCAGTGGTTAAAACGTATAATTTGTTTTAATTCAAATTACTTTTTAAATTTAATAACAGACATTTTCAAATTCCAAAGCTCGTAGAAGGTTTCTGTAAGACTGACTTACAAGTAAAATTTGGACAATACTTCCCTTCATGTAGCCTGTATTCTGCAGAAAAATACTGTAATTCACCAAAAGGGTTTTTTCATGTTCAAAATGGTTGTAGTATGTTCAGTGACTAGACTGGCTTACTACAGGTGAAATTGCCCCAATAACTCCCTTCATGTAGCCTATTTAGTAAACAATTATTATTTTATAAAAAAATTACTGTAATTAACCAAACGGGTTTTTGGTGACTTACTACAAGTGAATAATGTAAAATTTCACCTGACTTGTCACTAGGAACGTACTACAACCTTTGGAACATGAATAGAAAAACAATTTACAGTAAATTAAAAAATTGTAGGCTACTGTTCAATCGAGATATTGGCTGGACATAGTACAGTAACAGTAGGCTAAGTCAGTCTGCCCACTAGACTTCCAAGGTTATAATATAACCTTGGAAATATGTTCATTTGAATGAATGACTGGACGTTTATATTTTTTTGACTGTGAGTGGAGTTTGCAGATGGTCCCTTTATAAAATGAGGCGAATATCAAACTTCACTGCACTCTCGGACCGGTTGCTCTCCCATTCACATGCAAAGTTAAACGCAACTGCAGAATTTTTATTTCATGTTAAGCTTTTTCTTTTTAACAGGCTCGGGAAGGAAAATGTTATTAACTTGAAACGCCGTACATTGCGTTCATGTAGTCTCTTGTCTGTAGGCTATATAGTTTTCCTCCCATAGAGCATATTATAAAGAAAAAGCTTAACGTCAATGCAGTAAGACGGTGATATTTAAACTCAGTAGCCAATACACCTTACTGAACATGCAACGCGCGATTGCACGTTAAGCGTTTTATAATGGTTTTCTATGGGTGTTGTTCATAATCTGATGTAATGTTTGCCTCTATAAAGTATGCTTTATTAATAGGGTAGGCCTATATTATTGTGTACTAAATTTGGTGCTTCAATATCACCCTCATTAAGCGTCTTAAATGCGGAAGAACGCTTGATTATGCTGCCGTTGTCTGTTTTAGCAGAATACTGCCATCTAGTGGTAGCAGCTTTTCTCAGACAGCTGTGTGTGGATCGTGCAAGGCGAAACCCGCGAAATGAAAGTCTCAAAATCCAAATGAATCAAATAGGATCGACTCAGAAACGAGTCAATGAATGCACGCGCGTCACCTGATCCACACATGTGTTGCATGTGCAAATTATGATACACTAATACAAAGGAAAACATTTGTATTCACAAAAATGTCTCTATTTGTACAAATTGCTTCACATTCATTCAATTTTGAATTTTGCTCACGCAAGTTGAAAGGCATGGATAAAACATTTCTGCAACATGTATCAAGTTCATTGATAAGTGTGCTTGCACGTGTTAATCATTTTGATACTATAATCATCCCATAAACCTCCATCTGCCTTAAGGAACAGTTCAACAACAAAAAAGAAATTAAGATTCTGTTCTCACTTACTTGCCTTCATGTCATTTAAAATTTAAATCCCACCTGATTTTAGTAGAGTTTTAGTATAATGTTCAGGCTGTTTTTCAATACAATAAATGTTATTGTGTCTTGATGCCGTCAAGCTTCACAAAGGAGAAAAAAACTGTATAATACTAATAATACAATGCACTACAATTCTTCTACAATTCCAATTCTTCTGAAGTTAGGGTCTATACATAGTTTATAGACCAAAATAATGGCATGATGCTTCTTGTGCCATGTTTGTTCCTCACAAAAAAACAATCGTAAGGCTTCAGAGCACTTGGAATATATAGTGCATGAGTCATGTTAACCTCTTTTATGCTACATTTTTTGTGCTTTTTTATATTTTTGGAGCTCAACAGCCCTGGTAATCATTTACATTCATTGTGTGGAGAAGAGTAGCTTGGACATTCTACAAAACTTCTTTTATATTTTACTGAAAAGTAAACATTATGATTTGGAACATCATGAGTAAATTTAGATTTTTGGGTGCACCGTTCCTTTCCGATGAAGTGGCAGGAAGGGATGTGCAGAACTCTTACTGAGCTCATTATTACTGTCCTGACGTATTATTGGGTGAATTCCAATTGGCGTTTTTGCACCCTTGAAGGGCAGTTTGGGAAGGGGACACAATTTGTAGGAGCGTTCCAAATGAAAGTGAACAACTGAATCCCTTCACGAAGGGCCCTTCCACAGGTCCGTTAGCGAAGGGAACATGCAATGGTCACTTCAAGGAAGTGATTTAATCATTCATGGTGATGTTCTGCCCTTCAAAGTGAATAGGGCATAGGGATGCTCACTTCCAAATGGAATTTGCCCAAAGTCATGCCATAGATGTTGCTTGGCCAGAGCTGAATAAATAAGGGCTACATATGCTACCATCTGATCCCAAGTCCTGGTCTTTACAATGAGGTATGTTCACACAGAGACTACCAAAGACACTGTGGCTGTTAACCGCTGCAGCTACATTTCTTCTGTCATTCTTTGTCAGCGTTTCAAGGTTAAAAAGCGGTAAGTGCATACAAGGATTTGTAAGTCCTAAAATGAAGGTGGTCTTGCCTACCCTTTACATAGCTGACATAAATGGTTCCTGCTATGATTCCTTCAGCATTTAAGGAATATAGCTAATACTGTGTACTACTACACAATGTTAATACAAAGCATCAGGAAAGAATTATAAGTGCCTTTGCTAAATGAAATCGCCTAATGCTCCAAAATGTAACTACTATAAGAGATTTATTCCCATTTAGAAAGAGCCTGTGAAGTCAAGTGGCAGTACAGCCACTTGAACTGTAGTTACAGTGTTGATAAAACTAAATCATAGCTGGGGTGAGTTGAGGTGGCTTGGCCTATCTGTGCTCATACTTTAGCTGTGAGAGTTAGCAGTGAATTGGACAGTGTGCACAGGATGAGTTAGTTTTATTCAGACTGTGCCATTAGTGTACTTAGAGAGCTTATTCTCCAAGTCACAGATTCGCTTCTCCTGAGAGAGAACTGTGGCCTTCAGATTTTGGATCTCCTCAACAAGCTTCTCCAACAACTGCGGCTAGAGTTTGAAAGATATGAAGAGAAAGCGGAGAAAGAAAGGATGGCAGATGAGGAAATAGAAAGGAAGAGTAGTGGAAGGAGGATGAATAAGAGGAAAAAAGCAAGAGGAAGTCAAGGACAAACTGAATCAGGAAATGGAAAGATATGCTTAGCTTCTAGGGATGGGAATCGTAAAGATTTGAATGATTCTGATTGAGATTAACGATTCCTAGAAATCAACGAAGTACCGAATTTGATTTTTAAAAAAAACTGATCCGAACTATTTTATAGCATTTACTATATCTTGTATAGATAGATAGATAGATAGATGATGTCTACATGTAAACTGAAAAAAACATGAATTTGTGAAAACAGTGAAGTCATGCGCATGCAAATTATGTGTTCAGTCTTTTTCTTTACAAAGTGACATCGCCAACTACTGTCCTGGCAGCAGAATACAGCGTTTTTAATCGTTTTCGTGGATCCGTGTGAACGGAGATCGTTTCGACAATGTCGCGGCCTTTACGCGAAGGAAATGTTTTTTTTTTTTTTTAGTTCATTGATGTGTAGCCTTAAGGCTTGTACACACCGGGACGAATATCGGCGCGCGTTATTCGCCAGCGTTTTTTGTGTTCACACCCAAGCGATTTTCGCTGGCGATGAGCCGAGTGGACATGCAAATTCATTCCCTGACATTAGATGGCGCCCATTTGCTCTCCAATACCACTCCATAACATTCTCTTTTATTAAGATTTAGATGTAGTCGCTGTCGCGTTTGTCATATAGTTCTTTATGTTCCGACAGCAACGAGACCAGCAGCTCTACATTCATCTTGCCTTGCATCTTCCTCGTCTTATTTCTTCCCGGCAGTGTAGACGCTACTTGGCGTATATCTTCTTCGCCGTTACGTATGTGTGCTCGGCAAGACCGTTTTGTGCTTGAGCGCCCCCAAGTTGTGTTTTACTGTAACTTCAGAAGCTCCAGACACGTGAGCAAAAGCGCCAATGTCATTGGTCGAATAGTTTTTGACGCGGCGCGTCAAACTAAAAAAACACTCACATTGGCGCCCTTTGTTTAGTCATGAGGCGTTAAACGTCAGCGAATATCGTGCGCGAAATTCGTCCCGGTGTGAACAGGCCTTTAAACTGATACATTGAATGTTTTTGTTGTTGCATGGACAATGCAATGAATATAACTGTCCATTGTTTTAATTATATAATTTAGTCATAATAATATATCAGACATCAAGCAACAGCGAAAACATGCATCTGCTTTAGCACTATAGATTAAAAACCACAGAAAACACTGTTACGTGAATCAATGATGTTACGCTGGTATGATGTTCTGGCTTTTTTTATTTTTTTTATTAGCCCGGTTCTGAATAAGATTCCCAGCCCTACTTGCTTTTAAAGAACTGTTGATAAAAACAGGTGGTGAAGGAACAAAAGCCATGAAAGAGACATTTTAAAACCAAGATTAAGCAAGATATTCTACTCACTGGCAAACTGCTTCCATCTACAGCAGACATGCTTCTACGTGTTGCAGGTCTGGTGTCTAAAACGTTCTTCTTAGCCACCTTTAGCTCTCTGCTCTTTGGAGGAACATAGCCATCCCTCATGGACACTAGTATGGGGTCTGCGTCTCGTCCAACCATCCATTCTTCAGGTTCCAGAGCCGGATCTGGGCCTGCTGTGTCTGGGTACAGATCATCCTGGAACAGGTCCGACTGGAATCATAAAAACAGAAAGAGAAAGAGTTGACTTCTTCATCATCAGTAGGTAACCTTCTTTTGTTTCCAATGCTTCTGTTTTGTTGGGGTTCTGCTCATAGTCATTCAGAATTAAAACGGCCCTCAACAGTGAGCAAGTGCTTACCTTTCTGGGCACTGTCATCATGATAGGCTCACACTTTCTCTCATGGAGTTTATATAATCTATATAATGAAAAAGAATGCATTGATGAATTGTGCACAAGAACACAAAATTAGTATTGAGGAAAAAAAGAGTCTATAATGAGCAAAATCCTTTCAAACTCAGAAAAATGTGTAAAGACTGGAATGAACGCATGAAGTACACTACCGTTTAAAAGTTTGGGGTCTGTAAGATTTTTAATGTTTTCTACAGCTGTCTATTATGCTCATCAAAGCTGCATTTATTTGTAAATATTATTACAATTTTAAATAACTGTTTTCTAGTTTGATATGTCTTAAAATGTAATTTATTCCTGTGATGGCAAAGCTGAATATTCAGCATCATTACTCAACAGTTTTCAGTGTCACTTGATCCTTGAAATCATTCTGATATGCTGATTTGCTGCTCAAGTAACATTTCTTCTTATCAATTTTGAAGATAGTTGTGGAGCTTAATGTTTTTGTGTAAACAGTCATTTTGTTCAGGATTCTTTTCTGAATAGAAAGATCAAAAGAACAGCATTTATTTGAAATAGAATACGTTGGTAACATAAATGCCTTTACTGTCACTTTTGATCAATTTAATGCATCTTTGCGAAATAAAAGTATATTTTATATTATTTTAAATTATATTTCTTTAAAAAAATCTTCTGAACCCAAACTTTTTAATGATAATGTAAGCACATAAGGTATTTGAATATACCATATATTAAAGGGATAGTTCACACAAAAATGAAAATCCTGTCATTAATTACTCTCCTCACGTAAGACTCGTAAGACTTTCATTCATCTTCAGAACACAAATTAAGATCTTTTTAATGAAATCTGAGAGATTTCTGTCCCTCCATTGACCGCAACTACCACTTTGACGCCTAAAAAAGTTTATAAAGAGATCGTAAAACTAATCCATATAAATTGAGTGGTTTTTTCCACATTTTCTGAAGAGATTCGATCGCTTTATATGACGAACAGATTGAATTTAGGCTTTTATTCACATTTAAACATTGATCAGCGAACATAAACAGAACCTGCTTGATGTGCGAGAATGAACCTCATTGGCTCTCGCACGCCAAGCAAACATTTTTGAGCTTCTGTTTGCCAGATCTGATGTGTGAGTTGATGAATGTTTATATGTGAATAAAAGCCTAAATTCAATCTGTTCATCATATAAAGCGATTGAGTCTCTTCAGAAATTTTGGACTAAACCTCTCAATTCATTTGGATTAGTTTTACGATCTCTTTATGAGCTTTTTTAAGCGTCAAAGTGGTAGTTGCGTAGCTGTCAATGGAGGGACAGAAAGCTCTCAGATTTCTTTAAAAGGATCTTCATTTGTGTTTCGAAGATGAACGAAAGTCGTACAGGTTTGGAACGACATGAAAGTGAGTAATTAATGACAGAATTTTCTCTTTTTTGGGGGGTGAACTATCCCTTTAACTCAAGTAACACATATCAATGGATCAATATTCCAAATCAACAAGTATAATCATGCAAACTGACCTGGCAATCTCACACTTGCTGACATCCACTCCTCTCTTGGGCATGAAGCCCATTCCTCTCTGTGGCTCCTTGCTACTGAATGTGCTGATGTAATGAACATAGGGAGGCTCCTCTGTGATCTCAAAATACCGAATACTGCTGTCACCCTGAGGAGACACAGAGACAACGCTACAGTGCCAGCTGGAGTACCATAACAAATGAAGATGAAACATGGAGTCATACCTTGCCACTGAGATACACAATGTTAGTGTCTGGATCATAAAAAGGCAATAAAACTCCATTACTTGTGTCCAACTCCAGTAATGCTATGGGCTCTTCAAAATTAGTCTAAAATGACAAAAATGAACACCATCAGTTATTTGAAAGAAAACCAGGGTGGTGAAATCAAACATATAAAGGTAAATTGATAATCACATATAGAGGTAAAAACAAGCTTACATGTTTACAATATGTGATGAGCCCTATTTATGTCTGTTTATATGTGAATAAAGGTCTAAATTATATCTGTTCATCATATACATCAATCGTATCAAGTCACAAGGCTTGGATTAAACTGCTTAGTTCATAAGGATTCATTTTGCAACTCCTTTATAACAGTTTTTGCATCTTCCAAGTTTTGATTACCAGTGAAAATATCTTAATTTGTGTTCTGAAGATTAACCAAAGTCTTATGGGTATGGAACAACATGAGGGTGAGTAAATGATGACAGTATGATAACTGTCACTTTAGTTTTGCTCCATTACCGGATCCCACAGGCCAAGCTCCCTCTGGCTCATCCTGGTGAAGCCTGTGGTGAAAATGTTGCCCTCTTTGGTAAAAATAGCTCTCATTGGCCGGATCCCCTCATGTGGGGCCAGTCTTTCCTACAGGAGAAAAAAAAAGTTCACTTCAACCACCACATTTCTGTTAATCTTGACTTTTTTTTTTTTATTAGACATCTTAAAGAAATAGTTTACCCAAAAAGGCATCTTGCAGTGCGCACAGAAAGCGCATGGGGATCAGTCTCTTTCGCAGTTTAATGCGTTTTTAATGACTCTTTTTAAAATAAAGCATGTCCCGCAGTAGACTGCATTTTAGGACAGTCACGTTACATGATTTGCCTGATTTGGACGTAGGCTTTTAAGGAGGGGTGAAAACACACTTTTAAGGAAAGGAACTTTTGCAGCACAATGATCATTTGTTTTCATAATCGTTGGAAGCCAAAATCGAAACCGCAACTAAAATTGTATTCATCGCACAGCACTACTGCTGTTGAATTCTTTTTTAAATGCATCACCACACATGAAAGACACATGATATAATCTGGCCAGTCAGCACAACCATCTAGTAGGCAGTCATTGATGTATTTTAACATTATTACGAGGACATAAAAGATCACAATCTCTATGATTCGCATGAAAAGTAGATAGTAGATGTCTTCAAGATCGATCACGATATAAAATCGTCAGATCGCCCACCCCTAATATCAATTGAGTGGTTTAGTCCAAATTTTCTGAAGAGACTTTATATGACTGCTTTACATGATGAAAAGATTTAATTTAGGCTTTTATTCACATATAAACATTGATCAGCGAACATAAACTTAAACTCACACAAGCCTAACCGAACCTGCTTGACGCACGAGAACAACCCTTTTGCTGAAGCTCAAATGTGCTGCGTAACACGAGAATGAACCTCATTGGTTCTTGCTGAAGCTCAAACGTGCTGTGTAACATGAGAATGAACCTCATTGGTTCTTGCTGAAGCTCAAACGTGCTGCGTAACATGAGAATGAACCTCATTGGTTCTTGCTGAAGCTCAAATGTGCTGCGTAACATGAGAATTATTGGTTCCTCGTTATCCACAATTGATGTGTGAGTTGATGAATGTTTATGTGAATAAAAGCCTAAATTCAATCAGTTCATAATATAAAGCGATATCTCTTCAGAAAATTTTAGACTAAACCGCTTGATTCATATGCATAGCTGTCAACGGAGGTACAGAAAGCTCTCAAATTTCATCAAATTGTGTTCCAAAGATGAACGAAAGTCTTACAGGTTTGGAACGACATGAGGGTGAGTAAATGATGACAGAATTTTAATTTTTGGGTGAACTAACCCTAATGTGTCTGGTCCAAGAGTACCAATAGGTCTGTGGTTTTCCTACATACATACATGCCATAATACTTACCGCCACCACCTCGCTTTTCCGGGGATCGCACACTCGGAGGCGACGGTCCTTGCAGGTGGTGCAGAACAAGCTACCGTTGTAGTTCCAGCTGACGTTGTAGATGAGATCAGGATGGTCATCCATTGTGATCAAGGGTTCTCCAGTGCCCACATTCCATACGATGATCAGATTATCACTGCCTGAGACACAAGCACACTGAATTGAAGCCATCTTGCATGGTGGGAAAACTTCGAAGTAACCTTATTTTTTATACATTAGTCTATCTGTTAAAAGTGAGATGTTGAGGCAGTAATGCAGACTGATCTTTACCTGCAGTGAGGAGTATGTTGCGGGCAGTTGGGTGCCATTTGATGATGCCCACACGTTTAGAGTGACCCTCCAGCACCACAATGGGCTCACTGATGGGGCGAGAGGGAGTGTGGTCAGGGATCTGCCATACCTGAGTATACACAACTGTATTAGAGTAATAGTTCTCAACCAGGGGGACTCAGCAAACTTTCAAGAATTTAATATTTTTATTGCAATATTTTTAGATCATCCTGCAACCTGCATGACTTATTATACATTATTTCTGTCATGACAACTCTCATGTGTTAGCATGGTAATGGATATGACAATGTTGATATGTTTGGTCTTGGCCAATCAATAGATCTGCTACGCTGCTGCTGTACGGGACTTGCTACTGCCAGTACATACACGATACGCTGCTGTGAGCAAGTAAGACATGCTGCTGCTGTACAATATACTGTGTACATGAATTACCCGTAGCAGATCTATATAGGTGGAGCTGGGGAAGGTGGAGGGTTTCTGAAAGCGCGCTGCACTGCTATAGCAAATGCTGAACACGTATTTAATGGTTGAACAGCGAGCTCATTGGCCACTGATACAGCAGGAACCAATCAGCGGTGCCCTATAGAGAATGATGTGATTGCTAGCAGATTGAGTTAAGGACCCATCAGCCTGCCCCATTTAGAGTTTAATACATTTTTATGAATATAATAATTAAAATGCAAAAGTTAAAAACATACATTAATGTGCCTCTGCTTAAACGGGTTAATATATATAATGTAAATTCTTTTTGTTTAAAATTTGCTGTTGTAAAATAATAGACCAGTTAAAAAAGCATAATCACCCTCTCGATTCAACTTTTTGGGTATACTTATATATATATATATATATATATATATATATATATATATATTGGTTTGCAATATGTAGAGGGAACATTCCTTTGGTGTTCAGTGAGCACAGCAGCAATGCCAGCACAGATGACAGCTGCAGTTAACCTCCTCTAACAGCAGTGCATACAGTGCATGCCATTCACGTTTGTAATGTAGTGTAATGAAATAGCTCTAATAGCATTCATATTTTATAATACATCTTTACATCGTCTTGCTCAACTTTGGGGAAATGCTTCCGATACCAGTTTTCAATACATTATATAATACTTTTTGGTATTTATACTCGCATTTCAAAATGTCTGAATGTCAGTAGATATATCAAACCAAGTGACATCTGCAAGCAAATACATACTTCTAGAGTTCTCCTCAGGTTCACACAGGTATAACTCATCACTTTAACTATGAACATGTCCTTCTAAAGTTTGACCACCGCAGTGTCCAAATCCTGTTTGTCTTGATTTTGAACAGTGACATACACTGAAAAAATAGCTAAATAATTTCAAAGAAACAGCAAGTAACATAGAATTAAAAAGTAAAAAGACTGAAATAGTTTTAAACATACTCCAATAATCTTTTATTTACAGCTGATTTCATTACATCTATCTCTTGTCATTCTGGTCTCAGCCTATTGGCCCTGACTGAGACCTGGATCAGACCAGAGGACACTGCCACACCTGCTGCCCTCTCCACTAACTTCACTTTCACACACACCCCTCGCCTGACCGGAAGCGGTGGAGGTACTGGTCTTCTCATCTCAAACGTTTGGAAATGTTATCCTTTACCACCTATGTGTGACAACAGCTTATTTGAATCACATTTAATTACCATCACTAGGCCTATTAAAATCCATTTTGTAGTTGTCTATCGTCCACCAGGTCAACTTGGCAGTTTCTTGGAGGAGCTTGATGTGCTACTCTCATCCTTCCCTGAGGATGGTACTCCTCTTGTAGTTCTTGGAGACTTCAACATCCACCAAGAAAAGCCTCAGACAGCTGATTTCCACACACTGCATGCCTCATTCGACCTCAAACGAGTATCTACTGCGGCTACTCCCAAATCAGGTAACCAATTAGACCTTATTTACACGCACTTCTGCTCAACTGACCATACACTGGTCACTCCGCTGCACACCTCAGATCACTTCCTCCTCACTCTCAACCTCAATCTGCCTCAGAACACAACACACACACTCCTCCACAGGTCACCTTTCGGCGAAACCTACGCTCACTCTCACCCTCTCGCCTATCCTCTTTGGTCTCATCCACACTTCCTCCACCTGCTCAGCTCTCAACACTAGACCTCAACCTGGTTATCTGATGTTCTCCGTGAACTTCGTTCTAAACTCAGGGGTGCAGAGAGGAAGTGGCGCAAATCGAAAGATCCTACTGACCTTGGTCTTTATCAATCCCTCCTCTCTTCTTTCTCTGCTAATATCTCTACAGCTAAAATGACTTACTATCACAACAAAATTAACAATTCTTCTGACTCTCGCATGCTCTTCAAAACCATCTCCTCTCTTCTCAACCCTCCTCCTCCTTCATCAACCCTAACAGCTGACAATTTTGCCACATTCTTCATAAATAAAACAACCACCATCAGCGGCCAATTTACCAAACCACAAACTGACACACACATCTTACCAGCTAACACTCACATTCTACCCTCCTACTCTCTGCTTTCAGAGGCAGAAGTCTCCAAACGCTTGATCCCATTCCCACTAATCTACTTCAATACATTTCTTCCTCAGTTGTACCCGCACTTATCCACATCATAAACACCTCACTTCACACTGGTACTTTTCCAACAGCATTTCAGCAGGCTCGGGTAACCCCACTGCTTAAGAAACCCACTCTAAATCCAGCACATCTGGAAAATTACAGACCGGTTCATCGCGAAAACACTTGAACGAGTTGTTTTCAACCAGATCTCTTCCTTTCGTACACAGAAAAACCTCCTGGACAACAACCAGTCTGGTTTCGAAAGCGGACACTCAACTGAGACTGCCCTGCTCTCGGTAATTGAAGCTCTGAGACTGGCAAGAGCAGCTTCCAAATCCTCAGTTCTCATCCTGCTGGATCTGTCTGTTGCCTTTGACAGTTAACCACCAGATCCTCCTGTAAATTTTAAAGACGAAGGGCATCTCGGGAACCGCACTACAATGGTTCAAGTCTTACCCCTCAGGTCACTGCTACGCTAATGACACACAATTCTACCTCTCATTCCAGCCTGATGATCCGACGGTTGCTGCTCGCATCTCAGCCTGCCTGACAGACGTTTCTGGCTGGATGAAGGACCACCACCTTCAACTAAACCTTGCGAAGACAGAGTTGCTTGTGGTCCCGGCCAACCCAACACTCCACCATAACTTCTCCATTCAGCTAGGTTCGTCATCCATAACTCCATCAAGGTCAACCAGGAACCTTGGAGTTGTAATTGATGATTAATTGAACTTTACAGACCACATTGTTAGAACTGCAGATTTGCCTTCCTATCAAAGCATGCTACACAACTCCTTGTCCAAGCACTTGTTCTATCCAGACTGGACTAATGCTCTCCTAGCAGGTCTTCCAGCTTGCTCTGTCAAACCTCTGCAACTGATCCAAAATGCTGGAGCAAGAGTGGTCTTTAACGAGCCAAAGAGAGCACACGTCACTCCTCTCCTGACTCCTCACGCTGAGTCCGTGGCCATTTTCAAGAAACGGCTGAAGACCCATCTTTTTCGGCAACACTTGATCCATTAATACTAACACTTTATCTTCTATTCAATATCTAGTAGGCTATCTAAAAAAAAAAAAACAGTACACGTACTGCGTTAGATGAAACTGGGAAGGGTAATAGAACTTGCATATTGTTGGCCTATTGTTAGTTTAACTGCTCCTATTGTTCTCATTTGTAAGTCGCTTTGGATAAAAGCGTCTTCTAAATCAATAAATGCAAATGTAATGTAAATGTAAACTTTGATTTTTTGTTCTCAGTGTATTGTTTTATCCTTTAAAATCAAAATGTGAAATGTTTTTCTTAAATGGGCTTATTTCACCTTTATTTAAGATACATTTTACTTAGATTTTTTTCTAATGTAATGACATTTATACATGTGAAGTTTAGGGGTGCGTTCACGCCATGTCGTATCTACCGTAATCACGAAATTTCAACTTGTAAAAAGCGTTAAGAGCTCGTAATTACAACATTTAAGCTGGGGATTTTCTGAGAGCTCCTACTGTACCACATGACTATGTGTTACCACAGTGTTACCACAGAAATGCATAAATTACCAGTACAAAGATGTCAACAGCTCTGAGTAGAACGTCATTACTGTAATTTCGACATGGCGTGAACGCAGCGTAAGTGTTCAAATACTTTATAGGGTCACTGTATACAGAAGTGTTTGAGCATGAGGACATGCACATGTTCCAGTGTGTGCTGAAAATGAAATGACTCATCCCTATAGACACCTCAGGCCCATCTTTCCTTGTCTGTCATTACCAGTGGCTTATTTGAGAACAGGTTTCTGGCTAAGCACTCCCTTCTAACATGTGTTTATAAATACCAGCTCCTGTCCCATGCCTGGACCGTTAACTCCAGTCATCACCCTTCATATTAACACTATTGACAGTCACTGTGATCTTTCCCTCCAGTGTGAGCAGGTATATGGAGACATGCTTCAAAAAAAGGCAACTGAAACATGTTTATGACTACAAGGCTAGTGGAGATGTTTATGAATGTCATGATGATTACCATGGAAGTGGTGTCTTCAGAGCAGCTGGCCAGGATGTTGTCATTGTGAGGACACCAGTCAATGTCCAGAACAGGCCCTGAGTGTCCAACCACTAGAGGGTAGTTTTTGTCCACTCGGCCCATCTATAGCACAGAAAAACAAGGAACAAAGGATAATGTTAAAGGTGCTATATGGAACTTTTCTTCTAAAATGAATCCTTTTTTTATTGCCTGTGTGTGAAGGGGTTGTAATCACACATTACAATGATCCACTTGTCGGGTTTTGCTATTACCTATGAAGGCCAGTATTCCTATTTCTATGTGAAGTCTCCGGGTCGGATTTACCGCGAAATCCAACGGATGTGACGTGCATGCGCGCTCCCGAGCCTCTCTCCTTATATACAGTCTATTGTAGACGGTCAGGGAGTTACGTCCGGTCAAAGGCGCACGTTTTTCGGCTTATATCTCAGTCAATCTTTGATCAATATTCCCAAGACTCTAATCGTTCCTAGTGCTGGACGGGGCCTTTCGAACGAGCCCACCCCCGAGGTCCAACTCGCCCGGCTCCCCGAGTTATAGCCGTTTGAAATCGGGGGTCCCAGCGAACGGCGATCCGGTAGGGGGCATCCCCGAGGCCCGCCACTCTAGCGTTCGGGCAAGGGTTCCCCTGGGACCTCCTCCCCCGAATTTGAGCTCTCTGGGTCTTTGCGTTCCAGAGATACGAGCGATTTTCTTCTGAGATCGTGACGTCACCGGCGTCCGCAATTTTGCAGCGCGCCCGATGGTTTTCTGCTAATATCTCCGCGAAAACACCACCCAAAACTATGGAACTTATATGGTTCTTTTCAGCTCGACTAGATGGTCCCAACGAGCTCGGTGCTCGCCGAATCCGTCTAGTATTCGCCGAGATATTTGCGTAATAGACGGTATTGTCTATGAGTTTGAGCACGAGCGCTCTTGTAAAATTTGGTTGCAATCTGAAACATCACCACTAGAGGCCGCTAAAAGTTACGTAGAGCACCTTTAAGACTTGTTCTTCAAAGAAGTCTCTTTTGCTCACCAAGGCTGAATTTATTTGATGAACAATACAGTAAAAAAAACAGTAATATTGTAAAATATGATTAAATTTAAAATAACTATTTTATATTTGAATGTATAAAAAAAAAAAAAAGAAATTCCTGTGATGGCAAAGCTGAATATTCAGCATCATTACATGTCACATGATCCTTCAGAAATCATTCTGATATGCTGATATGGGGAGAAAAAAGATTATTTTGGTGCTCATGAAACATTTATTATTATCAATGTCAAAAACATTGAACGTTTTTTTTGGAAACCATGATACATTTTTCATGATTCTTTGATGAATAGAACGCTTAAAATAACAGCATTTATTTGAAACAGAACTCTTTCTTAACACACATTTCTTTACTGTCACTTTTGACCAATTTAATGCATCCTTGCTAAATAAAAGTATTAATTTCTTTCAAATAAAATCTTACTGACCCCAAACTTTTGAAGAGTAGTGTATACAGCTAAAAACTTTTAGCTGCGTCCCACATTTGGCATGCAGCCCTGTCACAGCATAATTTCCCATTAATAAATGAAAGATTTTAATAATTGTGACACATAGGCTTCAGGAAGTAATTTAATTTGGCCCCTTTCTACAGCCCAGCTCCTTTTCTCGAATTTTACAGAATTTGACGCCTGTGTTCATCAAGCTCAACTATTCAACCCTGTTACCAAAGTTTAAACAAAATGATCAAATATTTTCTTTAATTTGTGGAAAAAAATCAATCGTTTTAATGTTTAATGGTACAAAATCACACAAATCAGGGTTTTAAACATTTAAAACACGTAAATGTATTCTTCGTTTATTTTTCCACCCTTATTTTGGAAAGTGCCTATAGCATGTATTTCTAAACTGTTGTTATTCTATAAGGAATTCTAGTAACTCTATAAGGATTCTGATGTACCTTTGATGTTATTTTGTTATTCGTGTTGAGCTAATGTAAGCACGTGTTGGCTCTGTGTTCGGCTGCTCCTTCTCCAGTCACTCCCCTCCACATACTCCTGGTGTCTATTTATAACCCTGTGATGAGGCGTTGAAAAGAGAGTTTTTCTTTTGGCCTGCCTGAGACTGAGCACAGGGGAGATGGCTAGCTGGGTATTTATAGCGTGTCTATCCAGGCCTGCTGATATATGCTCGTGACTCGGCAGAGAGGCTACACTAAAGGGCATTAACTGATGGACCCTTAGAGAATCAAGACAAACTCAAAAAAATGGACCCACCGATGTGATACACTGCTGTGGATCAATATATTTTGTTTGACTTTGAGCCGTCTGACAAAGATTGCATGCATTAGGAACAACTAGAACTAATGTAAGATGTTTTTATCTCCACATGAGTACTCCTACATGTTTTATCGTGTAACCTACTTCAAAAGTATTTTGAAGCCCAATTCAAAATACTGGGCCCTATTTTGGGCCCATTTTACCCTTCCGATAAGTCCTGATTATCTTTCTACAGATTATCTTATCAGAAAAACTGACCGACATCAGTAGCAGCTTTGTGGCGATTTGAAGGTTGCTGCTCTCTTGCTTGGTCTGCAGATTGAATACACAAAGTACTGCTGTTTTCTCTGCGAATGGGATAGTCGTGCAAGAGGTTCCCATTACATCATAAATATTGGCCACTCCGACAATCACTGAAACATGGGAGGAAAAGTGTTCAGCATCCAACACTTGTTAAATCAAGGAAGAGCACCTTTACGCATCAAGCTGGGTCTGATGAAGAACTTTGTCAAGGCCATGGAAGAAACACAAGCAGCTTTCAAGTACCTCAGTGGAATATTTCCAAGATTAAGTAAAGCCAAGATAAAGGAAGGTATCTTTGTTGGTCCTCAGATTCATGAACTTCTTCGAGATTATGCATTTGACCATGAAATGATGGCATGAAAAGCCTTCCAGTTAGAGGCAATATATTTTCTCAGAAACAACAAAGCAGACAACTACAGGTTGTTGGTTGAAAACCTTCTCAAGACATGTAAAGCCTTGGTTGCAAAATGTCAATAAAGATTCATTTTTTTGCACTCTAATCTAGATTTTTTTCCACCGAGATGCAGAGAAGTTAACGACGAGCACAGCGAGCAATTTCACTGTTGCTGGACAAGAGATGCTCCATTGATGAATACAAGAGACAAGTCAAGAAGCGCAAAGTAGACACTGAATAGGACTAAACTATGAACAAAATAGTTTTTTGCCTTTTGTTTCATAATACATTTGATTTATGTAACCCTTTTGCTGATTCTTTAAGTGTTACATAAACAGGACAGGTGACAGGTACTGGCCACACAGGTAGACAAGTGTTCTCTAATGCAATGACATTTAGGCAATATTAAGTGTCCAAATATCCAATGTATCTGTGAAATCCATTTATTTGAAATATAAATATTTTGTAATATTATACATTTATGAACTGTAACTTTTGATCATTTTCCTTGCTGAATAAAAATGTATTCCTTTCTTTAAAAAAAAGGATTTTTTTTTTAAATTTTGAACAATAATGTATTTTGTAATCCCTTTAGCTGCATCCCACATTTGGCACGCAGCCCTGACAGCATAATTTCCCCCATTAAAAAAATGAAAGATTATTAAAATTATGTCACCTAGGAAGGCTGTGTTCATCAAGCTCAACTAGTCAACCCTGTTACCAAAGAAAAAAAAATAATCAAACAAATATTGTTTTTAATTTATGGGAAATAAATATTTATTTTATTTATTTTTATTTATTTAAATTGTTATAAATTGTTTAGTGCTACAAAATTACACAAGCCATGGTCTTAAACAATAAACTAATGTGATGATATTTAGGCATTTTGTCTGTCCAAAACCACTGTGAAACCACCTGTGAAATCCCAATAGGAACACCATATGCTTACATTTGTCAGTGTCAGTTTAATGATGAGTTTTACAGAAGGTGGAAATAGAAATGGGTGCATTCTGAAGAAACCGGCAGATTTCAGAGGTTCTGAAACACGAGAGCAGACGTTGAGAGTAGACACGCGAGAGCAGACGTTGATGCATGAACGTGCGTTGGAGGATAATATTGTGTAAATAAAGTGGTAAATTATGTTTGTTTGTTTTTTTTGCGCAAACAAAGCACTCGCGCCACTCCATAATATTGAGTTTAAACCACTGGAGTCACATGGATTACTTTCACTACCTTTCTGGGGCTTAAAAGTGGTTGTTGCGTAGGCTGTCAATGGAGGGACAGAAAGCTCTCAGATTTCATTAAAAAGATCTTCATTTGTGTTCCGAGATGAATGAAAGTCTTACGGGTTTGGTACGACACGAGAGTGAGTAAATGATAGAATTTTAATTGTTTGGGTGAACTAACCCTTTAATAAACTTTAATTTAAAAAAACTTACTATTTTTGTAGTTCCATCAGTATTTGCAGTGGTGGAGGAAGTACTGAATCTCAGTACTTAAGTAAAAGTACAAATAACCAGAGACATACACTCACCGGCCACTTTATTAGGTACACCTGTCCAACTGCTCGTTAACACTTAATTTCTAAGCAGCCAATCACATGGCGGCAACTACGTGCATTTAGGCATGTAGACATGGTCAAGACAATCTCCTGCAGTTCAAACCGAGCATCAGTATGGGGAAGAAAGGTGATTTGAGTGACTTTGAACGTGGCATGATTGTTGGTGCCAGAAGGGCTGGTCTGAGTATTTCAGAAACTGCTAATCTACTGGGATTTTCACGCACAACCATCTCTAGGGTTTACAGAGAATGGTCCGAAAAAGAAAAAACATCCAGTGAGCGGCAGTTCTGTGGGCGGAAATGCCTTGTTGATGCCAGAGGTCAGAGGAGAATGGCCAGACTGGTTCGAGCTGATAGAAGGGCAGCAGTGACTGAAATAACCACTCGTTACAACCGAGGTATGCAGCAAAGCATTTGTGAAGCCACAACACGCACAACCTTGAGGCGGATGGGCTACAACAGCAGAAGACTCCACCGGGTACCACTCATCTCCACTACAAATAGGAAAAAGAGGCTACAATTTGCAAGAGCTCACCAAAATTGGACAGTTGAAGACTGGAAAAATGTTGCCTGGTCTGATGAGTCTCGATTTCTGTTGAGACATTCAGATGTTAGAGTCAGAATTTGGCGTAAACAGAATGAGAACATGGAACCATCATGCCTTGTTACCACTGTGCAGGCTCGTGGTGGTGGTGTAATGGTGTGGGGGATGTTTTCCTGGCACACTTTAGGCCCCTTAGTGCCAATTGGGCATCGTTTAAATGCCACGGCCTTCCTGAGCATTGTTTCTGACCATGTCCATCCCTTTATGGCCACCATGTACCCATCCTCTGATGGCTACTTCCACCATGTCACAAAGCTCTAATCATTTCAAATTGGTTTCTTGAACATGACAATGAGTTCACTGTACTAAAATGGCCTCCACAGTCACCAGATCTCAACCCAATAGAGCATCTTTGGGATGTGGTGGAACGGGAGATTCGCATCATGGATGTGCAGCCGACAAATCTGCGGCAACTGTGTGATGCCATCATGTCAATATGGACCAAACTCCCTGAGGAATGCTTCCAGCACCTTGTTGAATCTATGCCACGAAGAATTGAGGCAGTTCTGAAGGCAAAAGGGGGTCCAACCCGTTACTAGCATGGGGTACCTAATAAAGTGGCCGGTGAGTGTATTTACTTTAGTAAAAGTAGAAGTACCACAATGACAAACCTACTTAAGTAAAAAGTAAAAAGTACCTGATTTTAAATGTACTTTAAGTATTAAAAGTAAAAGTACTTGCATAAGAATTTATTCTCTTAATGTCTATATTCTAATGATTAATAAAACAGTTAATTCTAACTCATTCAACCTAATACTCATAATGATGTTCAATATGATGGAAAAGCAGTTATATTTTAAGTTTTTGTCACCATTTCTGAACAAGCTTGCAATTAGGCAATATACACATCAAGCTTACTATATAGCCTACCCTTACTATATACGGTATATATATATATATATATATATATATATAAATAAACACATATTATGTTAAAACGCCGTATATGACGGCGTTTGGCTGTAAACGCGATTCATTTATGGCGTAATTCTGAACCTCTTGGCTTGCCATATTAATCCTAACCAAACGTATAATACACACGCACTCCACATCACTACTAAACCTACCAATGCGTTTCCTATGCATGTAAAAACTAATTTTCTCGTATAAATTGCACGATAAACACACTGCGTGCTATAGAGACGCATTTAGTGTGACCGGGTTGATATGTCTATGGCAACCAAATTTCACTGGTGAGACAGAAACGTGCGATGAACGGACGGTCAGGATGACGTTTTGGCAGGGAAAAACTGATCCGAAAATTTAACGAAAATGTAACAGAACGTTGTAGAAATGTAGTGGAGTAGAAAGTATAATAATTGCTGCAAAATGTAACGAAGTAAAAGTAAAAAGTATGGACTATTGATTCTACTTAAGTAAAGTACAGATACGTGAAAAAATTACTTAAGTAAAGTAACAAAGTATTTGTACTTTGTTACATTCCACCACTGAGTATTTGTGATAAAATATTACAGATTATAAGATACATGGACATAGGATCTTCATTTTGGCATAATGATAACCATTGCTTTGCTGATATTGCAATGCAAGCTGCTAAAGTTCAACAGATAAGAAGAGATGGCAATGCATGTAGGGATTACATCAACTCACAAACGCTTACTTATCATCTCTAAACTCAGCTGCGGTATGTCACAGAAGTAGTTTCAGACAACATATGCAAGTTGTGTACCCTGTTTCCATGGGGTCCAAACCTTTGCCTCTATGAGGGTGAAATGGAAGCCCTGTGGGGGATGGGCACCCTTAACATGAGGCACGGTTGAGACTCTTGAACAAACATACCCATAAATATAGTCCCATGAAGATAAAAGAATAGAACAGACAAAGAGGTTACACTTTATTTCAATGGTTCACTTTAGACATTCTACTCACTATAAGTAACTTTGCAACATGTCAACTAACTCTCTGAGTATTAGTAGAGGTTTAGGTTAGGGTGTGGGTTAGTAGAATAAGTTGACAGTAGGTAGTCAATTGAATGTCTGTTGGGGGACCATCAAAATAAAATGTTAGCAGATATTAAGCAGACAGTCAACTAATACTCGAAAAAGATTTAGTTGGCATGTAGTTGCAAAGTTACTTATAGTTAGTAGAATGTCTAAAGTGGACCTTCAAAATAAAGTGTTACCGACAAAGCTTACATATAACATGTATAAATTCCATTGTATTTAGGACAACAGATAACAGACAATGCACTACCTCTAAAGACAAAGCAGAGCCCTGAACTTTACATGTTCTGGTAGTTCTCTCCTCAAGCCACTTACCTTTGAGAGAGGCAGGACAAGAAATGCTCCGCCACCACTTGATTCCACTATAACTGCCATAAACTTTGGGTTAACTGCACAGAATGAGCTGTCCCATGTCACTTTGGACACCCGAATATCATCATAACCTTGATCCGCCTTCACCGCCTGCCCAAAAACATGCCGGAACTTACTCTGGCGAACAATGCTGCGACTCATGGCTGTGAAAAACAGAGAAGGGTGTAAGAAAGATATATATGTGTATAATATGTGTGTATATATATAATGAAATAGCTTTTATAATACATACAATATTTAATATTTATTATTTTGAGTACACTCCATAGTAAAGCTGCTCAGGAATCACTATCACACTGTTATTTGTTTGTGTTGACTATTGTCTGTTGTTTATTTCCCCTTTTTAATATGTCAATAAAATACATGCTGGATTTTTTTTTAAATGTGAGTTTCTGAAACAGATTTTGCCAGATTACAAGTATACTGCAACTATATGGTTAGTACAGCATAAATGAGAAATGTGTGGCTGATGAGACACTAACCTATAAACCTGTATGTTGTGATATTTTTTATATTAAAACGTATATATATACATATATATATATATATATATGTGATAGTAATTATCTTCATATTGTAATATTTTATTTAAAAAATGATTATGTCAATGACAGTAAAAAAAACTAATTAAAATAATAAAAATGTAATTGCTTTAATAATGTCAGTAAGATAGGCTACATTATTTGGTCCTCTTCAAACACTGGCCTGTTTAAAGTTTTAAATACACAGCTTCATATTAAGATTACAGTAATACAGCATTACTCATATTAACATTGAACATATAGTTACTAATAACAATAATAATAATTTAAGAATAATAATGAGGAAATATTATGGAGACAGGGATAACTATGATAAACATATAACTGTACACTGTAGTTATCTTTTCTTTTAAAATCCCAATTTTCCCCCCCAGATGTCATAGGAGAGAGTATTATTTGTGTAAGTTTCAACAGATCATTGACATAAACAAACAATCATTCCACATTATCAACACAAAGGTACCCTAAATAGCGCCTACTGAACAACAGAGAACAAGTCATGGCTGGGCAAGAGCTTAAAAACATTGGAGTGTTTTAACACAGACTGAATGATAACCCCATCAGTTTAACCAATTAGAAATTAGTCACAGGGATGAAATAACTATAATGTTTGAGCCTCCAGCGGTGACAGCAGAAGTTAGCTTACAGGATTTACAGGAAAGAAAAAAACAATTCTGAGGTAAAATGGATTAATAATATGATTGTTACAGACTGTTTTGGGTGGGTTTTGCTCTTGTTTTAGTTCAGTTTCCTGTGTTTGAGTTTGGTTTCCTTGGTTTTTCATTGATGAAGAACACCTGTTCTCTATTTCATTGATTAGTTTGACGTGTGTTATTTAAACCCTCAGTTTGTTCAGCCCCTTTACTCTCAAAAATGATTTAATGACTATTGCTGTGCGATTAATCGTGTAATGTGACGGTCGTAATATACAGTCTATACACACACAAAAAAAATCCGAACGAGACGCTGTTCCCCAGGTGGCTTTCTGTGTGCGCGATCCGAGCTGGAGAGAGCACAGGCGAGAATAGGCTATACATTGGGCTTTGGGCACGTGTTTAAACAGACAAATACACAAATATGTCAAAATGTCCGTCTTGGTGAGTTTTCCCTTAAACGCAGTCAGTAAGGCTATGTCTTGAGTGAACACAAACAGTTGGGAAAGTGAATGAGAGAATCATTCACTGCTCTTCACTGAAAAACTTTAGATACTTTAATAAGAATCATTGTATATTTAATTCATACAGTGAAGACTATGGAGTGTTTTATTTTTTACATTTGATTACTTTATTCAATTTCTGTATAGTAGACGTATTAGTAGGCTAAAATTATTATCTTTTGTATTTGTCCTGTTTGTCATTTTTTTCAATTATATTACTGACTGTTTCAACTCACTTTCAATGAAACTGCTCTGAAAGAACAGATTAAGGGGTTGGGGGTCATTTTGGGGTTTGTATGAACGCACTGAAAAGGTTATGCTTAGGGCCCCCAGAAGTCTAGGACCAGCACTGTATTGTATGTTCTGTTTTACGTGTTTTTGTATCCAGTATTCTGAGAAGTGTTATTTTGAGTTCTTACGATTAAATCCAGCCTTTTATTTATCGTGATTGCAATCAGTGCTGACAATGATGTACAATGTTAATTAACCAACAAAGTATGAGAAGTCTTTGATAAAAGATTTACATGTTAACTTTTACAGAACAGAACTGGTATAATCTGATTCCACAAAGTAGATGACCAGACATGTATTGCTGTGTTTTTAGAACTTTTAGTATATATATATATATATATATATATATATATATATATATATATATATATATATATATATATAATTTTAATATATATTTTATATTTGTTTCCATTTTGGCTGTTTTTAATTAAAACATTTGCCATATTACCATTTTCAATTAAAATTCTAGGTGGCTAGGGGATGACAATAATTATGTTGAACAAGCATATCTGAATGATTACCACAATTCATGTTCATAATTTAAAACATCCATGTTTTCTACTGGCTTTAGGTGTAAGTTGTAACAGCAGCATGCAAAGTTTGAGACACAATTAAACGTAATTGACACTGATACTACACCACATAAAATTGTTAAACCCCCTTCAGAATGCAGTATCTTTAAACCACACAACAGTGTGTGTGTGTGTGTGTGTGTGTGTGTGTCCCATGTGAGAAGGCCCTCTGTCTTCAGACACGGTCACTTTCCAAATATAGTCATGCCAAACTAACCATGTGTCTCCCACTCTGTCCCCTCCAGACAAGATCCTTCCAAATTTACAAAGGGACAGAATGAAAATATACCAATGTCAGTGTATACCGCAGCTATTCCGCGCACACCTGGCCTTTAAATATAGATATTCCTACATCAGCTCAATGATCAAGCAGAACGTGCTGCACTGATATGTTATGATGATGTCACACAGCCTGTTCGTAACTAACAGAATAGAACTTTACAAAACTAGACAACGCGCGTGTCGTCACAATGCAGCATTCCATCACGAGGAACCGCAACTGTCAGTCAAATGAATCACTTACCTCAGTATTTGGGGAATATTCGCTGATGCTGTCTTTAAATTCGCTCTCCCCCTTTCTCCAGGCGGTTAACGGCTCCTCTGGACGCTGCGCTTGTAGAAGCGTCTCGTTTATTCCAGCTCACAAACTTGCTACGGACTCGCAGAACTAGCAGGAGTTCGTCCTCACTAGTTGTTCCTGAACATCGCGAGAAAGAGAGAGAGAGAGAGAGAGAGAGAGAGAGAGAGAGAGAGAGAGAGAGAGAGAGAGAGAGAGAGAGAGAGAGAGAGATGGATTTGGGGGGGGGGGGGGGGGGGGGGGGGGGACTGGATAAGTGCAGATGGGGTGTATAGGCTATGTATGGCAAGCCATTTTGACAACACATTTACACACATTTTGTTTTTCCTTATTGTTATAGTGTTATAGCTTATATAGTACATATGAAATAAGGAAAAACAAAATGTGTAAAATATGTTTTGACAAATGTTGACATTCCCACATTCAAACAGCTTGCCCTTTTGCAGCAGATAGTCACAAACAACTGACAGTCATTAGGCCTATGTAAATTACAATACAATTATTGTACAATAATAAATCCTAAAAATGTGGCATTACTTATTAATTTTCGTGGCATCAGTTGCTCGCACACTCAAGCTCAGAGGATCTCCCATTCTTGGCTCATTTTGAGTCAGACTTGTGAATTCAGTGAATTGCTAACAGGAGATCTGGAACTGATCAACTGAATCAGTGAGTTGTTGACTCGAGAACAGATGCAATCTCAGATCAGCCCAATTCACAAATAAATTGTTCAGTGGGATTTGTGAACCAATTTAATAGGTTAATTGAAAAGAATCAGCTCGTTTTTGAATCGGACACCGCTATCGCTATCGCGTCTTGGTGCGGGTGATGATTTTTCTAGCTTAAAATAACAAGGAACGACATGATTTTATGAAATGTTGTGGAGTAAAAAGTACACTTTGGAATGTAGTGAACTAGAAGTTACGGTGGCGCATTGCTGCCACTCACATATTTTTTTTCCCACTCAAGTATGTAGTAATAATGAGATGTTATGTCGTTTTAACGACATCTTTTCTTGCAATAACGAGATGTTGTGTAGGCCTATAGGTTACTGTATACTGTATGATGTGTTATGTATATTTTCTAGGCCTAATAAGGACATGTGTAGTCATGTACAAAATATGCCTTTATATGGCATATCATATAAATTGATGACAATCATCTACTTACGAACGCCGATCCAAGTGCGCTGGTGAGATGTGAACGGGCTATAAGTTGTGATAAGGTGAGCGCGAACAGAAGGCTTGGATCGGCGTTCGTAGATCGACTGGTAGAGACTGTATTTCAAAGATGGCTCCTGCCTGTATACGCGAAGTTGACTGTATGTATTAAATATCTTCTTATTAAACTGTCTGGACACTGACAAAGTTCTCAATGCTTCGGTTTGAAGGTAGGGACCCTCATTATGCTACCGTGTTAGTGTGGGGCTATTTTGAGCCTTGTTAGTGGTATTAACAAGCGATTTTTATTTGTCATTGATCTATGCCCAATATACTAGCGTTATACTAGCTTTATAGACTAAACTGTTCTTAGAGATAAAACTATTTACATTCGATAATCATGAAAACAAATCTCAGATAACGGTTGACTAGGTACCAATGTGTAATTAGACCAAAGGTTCATTTTGCGCCGGAGTTCTCCTTTAAAAGATTTGTTGTGGAAACCGCAATGCCATCCTCCCATAGAAAGCCACATTAAGCGTTTTCTTTATAATAACGTTTTCTAAGGGAGGAAAACGCTAAACCAGTAGCTAATTAAATGAGTTGCGTTCAGATTCTGAGCTCATCTGCTTTTCTGTACATAGTATGGTTTATTAATAAGGTGTGTACAGAATTTGATATTTTAATATCACTATCTTAGTAGCCTATTAAGCCACATTAAGCGTTTTCTTTATAATAAGGGTTTTCTTCGCAATGCGTTCATATTCTGGGCTCATCTGCTATTCTGTAGGCTATATATGCTTTATTAATAAGGTGTGTACAGAATTTGATATTTTAACATGATTGTCTTAGTAGCTACATTAAGCCACGTCAAGCGTTTTTTCACGTTAAGCATTAGGATGTCCTGTATTGGGGGCTTCAACTAGCTTCTGCTTTTCGAACGTGGAAGTATGATAAAGACATGATAGGCTATATAAATGTTATGTGGATAAAGGCATTGTGGCGAACAGGACGAGGCAGAGGGCCGTGAGAGAACGGCGCGAGGCCGGTGGCGTGATTGATGATGAGCAACGCCTGCGCAATGCACCGGTCTCGTAAATGCTACATTTACTTTCGTTTTGTATTTGTTCATTTTATTATTAAAGTCTGTTGAATGGTCACCGGTTCCCGCTGTGATGTCCTCGTTTGGTGTTTGAAATGACCAGACTTTGATTGAATATTTAATATACTTTACTGTGATAACATGTTCAGGCAGGTCTCACACGTTCAGCCATAGAATACTGATCACAGACTAAAGCCCAATTTCTACTTCTGCGTCGAACTCACGCCGTAGCTACGTCGTAGGCGGCGTACCCTGACGTGCACCTCTCCAAAAATGTAACAACGCGTCAATTCGACGCGGACGCAAGCGTTGTGATTGGTCTGCACGAACCCCTCCCTCGGGTTTCACGTGCTCCCTCTGCATGTGTAGCCTAATTGCGTGTCAGCGCGGACCACGACGCTGAAGTATAAATGAAAACCAACGCGTTGCCTACAGCGTAGGTCCAACGCAGAAGTATAAATCAGCCTTAACTTCCCCTTCGCGGGCTTAGCGCCATTGTTTTTATCTATACAACATTAGTCGTAGGCTATCCGGCAGTCGTACCACCATACGTCACTGTCGTAAACATCACTGTCGTAAACATCATACTAATGTTGTATACCTTAAACATTACATCACTCTTTTTTTTTAACAACCAGATCCATTGCTTTGGACATACGTAACTGATTTACTTGTTATCTGCAATAACAACATTATTTGTCATTCGTAACTCAGCAATACCAAGTGTAAACATATTGTAAGTCCGACTAATTCAATCCAAGGGCGGCATTCAAATTAGCGGTGAAGGTCACATGCGCGTTCCGTCTCTTCCAATGGCAAAGGGATTTTTAATTAAATACAATACATTCTATCTTATGTATTAACTCGTTTCATCTGACTCCATAAAATGAAAGTGTTTTTCAATGATATCTGTGCATCTTTAAATATACGTTAATGTTTGACTATTCCTTTTAACTCCAATGAAAATAAAGTAAAAGTCTGTTAGAATAATCAAATATAACAATTTATTATGTCAGGTAAATGTATTATAACAATTCCATAATCAATTGAAAGATAATCAATGCAAATCATCAAATGTTTTAGGATTAGAGAAATAGATGCAACCCAACATTTACGAACTACATGAGCTACCTCATGGGCTATCTGAAATACAGAAAAAGCCACGATCCCTTGCTGCCTTCCATTAAATAGCCAGACCTCATTTCATATGTAAACCTGTTTTCACAGTGGAAATTTACTGTTCACCCCCCCCCCAAACTTACTGGGGGCAGAAGTTGATTTACATGGTACCATTTGCTAACAGTGGAAATTAGCATTGAGTTCACACCTTCTGGGAGTAGGATCATGCCTAGAGACCACATTCATTTGTGTGCCAGATATCCCTAAACTCTTAAAAACCTTATTTCCTTTTGTTTTATACTTTGGGAATGAGACATTTGTACCACTCATTCCTGAGACATTTCAAATGATACCAAACATAATACTCAATGATAATCATTCACATCAAACCATAGATATTCTTATGTGAGTTTTTATGTGTCACTGCGAGAGTGGGGGATGCGGGGAAGAAGTGTGTGTGTGTGTGTGAGAGTTCAAATGTTAATTTGCCAAGGTCCTTTGTCTCATAGACCAGTGGTCTATCTCTTCACCCAGTTTCCAGTTTTCCAGTCTTACAGGTCCCTCCTTGACCCCGTGGGTCACATTCAGACACTTAAGGGGTCACAGTAAGACGTTTGTCGTGATTGAGATGTAACTCAACAATTGTCTTTGCAATGTCAGCATCTGTAGAAGCTCAGAGGGCTGTGTTCACCTGCAGAACACCTGTTCTCACCAGGTGTATGTAGCGTGAGTCCAGCAGGTGGATGAGGCGTTCAGGCTTTCTTCCGGTGATCCTGTGATGTGAGCAAAGTTCATAGAGTCAATCTGGACCTTTTGACTTGTTCAGTTGACGTGTCATTCCTTCATGGAGAAACTTCCACTTCCCTGGCACCTTCCCCATGATGATAATCTGTCCCTTCTTGACCAATCCTGTCACCTCCCAACGGTGCGGCTGTCTGGACAGACCTCAGTGGATGAAGGTGTTCTCCTTGGCTTCACACTGCTTTGTGTGAGACACCTGAAAAGCATCTTAAATGTCCGCTTCACGATTGAACCCATATGAACTTGAACTCGCGAAGAAATCCTTAGAAACGCATAATGCAACAAAACAACATCATGTCATTCAATGTAAAATACCATGTTCTTGTCAGCAGGTGTGAATGGTACATCTGTCTCATATGTTTCTCAAGGTCCTGAATGGTAAGGATGTCTCATATTAAATATCCAATTCTTAAATATATATATATATTTTTTTTTTGGTCTGAATTATTCAAAGGAAATGCAGCAAGAGGTCAGTGTAATCAAAGCAATCAAATAAATGGTATGCATCAATACGTCTTGTAATAACAATTATATTCAAAAATAAAAATAAATATGAAGAATCACTGTTTGTTCAGGAATCTTCCAATGTAAGTCACTTATGCAATCTAAGAAGTGACTTGGAACATGCTTAAATGTATTCAAGAATGGAGATTGTTCATTCCTTGTAACAGGTGTGAGATTGTGTGTTTGTGTGAGGGTGTGTGTGTGTGTGTGTGCGTCTGTGTGTGAGTGTGATAGTTTGTGTGAGAAAGAGAGTGTGTGTGTGTGTGTGTGTGTGTGTTGTTGGCTAAGTCACAGTCAATGACAGGGTTATATTGTAAATTGTGTAATTGTTTGAAGCGCTCACACTTCAGATGTATTTGTTATGATGTTTCTGTTATTAGTGGTTGTTGAGAAATCAGGGGCCCTCTGACCTTCCAACCACCCTAATAACAATCAGAAAGTTTAAACATTCTTAAATTTAATAGCAGGTCTGCCTCTGCTTTAATTTTGTTTT